TGAATAATTTGTACGTTAATGTTATTTCTTAATTATAATTTAATGTCTTAATTAAAACTTGTAGGTAATTTAACGAACTCACATAATAAAAGATAAACAGCACTACTGTTCCAGAAGGTCTCATGATGTAAATACATTTCATGTTTAGCAGGTATATTATGATATAAAGTACTCTAATGAATATAAGCCAAGCTTTATGAATGGCCTCCAGTCTATATTGGACTTTATTTATTGATGAAATGTTTGTGGCTCGTCAATTCCTGGAGTTAAAAGCAGCACTTGTAGAGATCTGTTTATCAATATGATTGATTGGGAGAAGAATAGACTTGTTATACTACTAAGAAGTACTTTCATACTAGAGTGAAATACTGGTATTACGACATATATTATAGGAGTAATATTGCCAAGAAGTACTTTTATGCTCATTTTAGCTTTATGTTGGATTGACTTCGCTAAAAAATTCTTTTTCTGTAAATTCTGACTCCAATGCATATTTACTGGGAATTTGATTTACTGGGAATTTTCTCAAATCGGGTGTGCAGATTCAAATTATTGTCAATAAAATCAAGAATGTTCCCAAGCAATTGTTAATTTGATAACGATATTTATAATTCTGCTTGTGTCTTGAATACATGATGTAAGATTAAATTTTATTTGACCTTGAAAAATAATTGAATGATAAAATCTGGTTTTTGTTGGATAGGCAAGTCTTACAAAAAAAATCTAAAGCAAGACCCGGTTTTGGTGGCTTTAATGAATTTCTATTGAGATACAAGTCGGACTTTCTTAACAAGTTTTTTTATAAACATAGTAAGTTGTCTGAGACTGTATTTGATGCCAATTAGAGGAGGAAACGAGGTGTATTTCTTTGTCAGAATTCTTCTTCTTCTCAAAATCCTATTAGTATGTCTCGAGTCTGATCGTTGATTTTCTGTACTGAAATCAAGGAAAGATCACTTACAGAATTTCAGTATTGACTAGTTTCCCATTTGTCATTCTTGAGATTCAAATGGACGGCTTTAAAAAAAATCACAATTTTCAACCTTGACATGCGTTTTCTTTCTTTTATATTTGATAGGTAATTAGCGTCAAAGAAAATGAAAACAAGAAATCAGATAATTTAAATATATTTTGTCTAAATGAGATAATTGTTGATTTTGATTAGTGATGTGGGTTGGATTCAAATCATGATGGGAAAGTGAATCTGTAATGCCCAGGTTATGAAAATAGGTTAAATCTCTCCTTATTTGCTATTCCCCATTCAGCTATTCAATTGTTCTATCTGTATACTTCTTAGAAGTGTGTAATATGAAATGACTGAAATAAATGTAATATAAAACCCAATTGAATGTGTGACACAATTTTATGCATTTGGTTTATATTATCTAAACAGATCAAATCTTTTTACGCTGATCACTTGAGTAAACAGAACTTATTTTATCATTTTTTAAATATTTTAAAGATACAGTAGCAGTAGACAAATCATAACTTTAGTCTCAGAAATAGAAATTATTTTCAGCTAAGCCAATATTCATGTTCACAGCTCACCATTGAAATTCAAGCCTTTCAAATTCATGTGTGTCCAGAATTATCTGCGTTCGAAAGTAAAAAAGACAAATCGTCTTTCCTTTAGAACTGCAATATATAAAAAAGACATAAAACAAAATGAAAAGAAATTTGGAAGGAATTATTTCAAGTACTTATGAAGGCTATTTACATATATTTATTTATATATATATTTATATATACTCAAATCCCCCCACCCCCCCCACCCTCCAAAATGTCCCTTTAAACTAAGTACTGTATGGTATGTAAAGATTTCATTTCAACACTCATGAAGTTTTATTCATCATCTCAAATCAACCAAAAAGTTATTAAAATAAGTGGAGCACAGCATACTATTGAATATTGTTTTGTTATTTATGCAACATGTTATATTTGATATTACAAATGTTTTAAAAGGTTTTTAATCAGAAAATATTGATAAATTGATACAATATAGCTTTATTTGAACCATGTAATATTTCAACATTTCAACTGTTTTATATGCAGTGCAATTTTCTTTCTCTTTGAATTAAACTACAGTGTTCAAGGTTTAGATATTACGAATGTACTATTGATTTAATATTGATAATTGCAACTTCTTAAATTATTTATGCGCAGCAAATATAGGTTATGTTACTGTAACTTTGCTTTGGACAAATCATCAATAGTGAAAGCATGTTAGAGATTTGAGTTTATAAAACACTGATTAATTTAATGTCATGGATTTGTTGAGGAAGAAAGCTCCAGGGAATTTAGCATCAAATTGACACCACTTACTTACACCTTACTTTAATCAGTAAAAATTTCAGTATTATTTTATCAAACATTCCCTTTGATGATAACAGATTTTTAGAGAGGATTTTATTGTGTCTAAGAATTGTCATTAACTCAATATTTTTTTCTTTAAACTTTGACCTTTCAATAAACCAGAAGATGTTAACTTTGAGATTATAAAATGTCTTTAAAAGTTAAAAAGTTTTAAATGTCAACAGTTGATATTTTTATATTTGATCTTCTTGTTGAGAAGATTTGTTTGATGAAAGTGAAGTTTGAAGCCAGATAAAAGCAATAAATGTTCATATTTAGTTTGCGGACCTTTTGCTATCTTTTGATAGATATTTTGACAGTTGGTTTCATAGCATTTAATTTTTGAACCTAGAGCTTTTCCTTGTCTGTCTCAGAACCTTGAAAAGCACATATTTGATTTATATCAAATATCGGGTCATATCCCATGTCAATTGAATTTCATGTCTTGCCACCAAAATGAGCTAAGGAAATCTGACAAGATTTTAAGCGTTGAGTTCTGAAAAATTTAAATTCCTCAAAAAATATTAGTCAATGTCTTAACTTAATGTCTCTTAGGGGAAGAAAATTAAATAAAGATGACAATTTGCTAGCAATTCCTCTGGTCAGTTGAACAGTGCTAGACGATAACTGACTTCCGTGGTACACAGTAATCAAATTAAACATGTGTCTCAATATCGTTCCTGGCTTTTATTTAGACAATAGAAATTATTGGAATTTCAGGAACAAGGTCACCTTGGTCGAAGAATTGTTACGATGTAAATAAAATAAAGTGATATAACAGTTTTACGATCCTGTTTTTCTGCACGTTCTAGCTAATCAAGGCTGACAATGCCAGGCAACTGTTTTGCTTTGAGCTACTTGTCCGCCAGTACAGTGTTTATTTATTAAGCTTATTGAATATTACGATAACTTTTTTTTATCATTTTGGGACATTAGATTTTTCAGGAGACTATTAAAAAATTCAAAGCACTTGCTCTATGGGCTCTTATAGTGCAGACTGGATGTGTTTTTCAGTTTATCACCTCTAAAAAAAGCTTCTGCTAGTCATCTGCATAAACAGAGGCCTTGTGTATTACAGTGTGTGAATTTTAAAGATACATTGACTGTAGGTTAATGCCACCGTCCTGTCTAAGTTTTTCTCATTTGACTGATATCTGTTGTTCTATTGAAGTTGTGGGCCTACTATTGAATTATACTCTATTGTCGATACCAACATTACCAAATCTAAAATCAATGATGTTCAATTTATCTTTAAACTTTGATCACATTTTATATAGCGTGCTATCAATTCTAAGATTGAAGGAAGGCGTTATCAATTCCTTAGACTTTGTTGAATATTATATCATTATGCATCTTATTATGCTGATATGACTCTTAAACCTAATAAGGGGTTGTAAAGAGGGTTTTCGAACTTTTGTAATGTCTGTAATTATAGACGTGCTATGGCGTCGTACAAGCTTCTAATAGGATAGCTGTGTCATAGACAGACATGTAATGGGAATGATGCAAATTGAAGCCAATGGTGTCCCCACATAAAAAGTTAAGACAACCGATAAGGTGCAGGCTCTTCATAAAGGAGTTGAGTTGACAATTGCAGTAGCAGATTGACATCCAGGTTCTAGAAATATAAGCATGCCCTGCTTGTATCATTAAGAAATTTTTCATGGCTATCCGTAGTTCTTACAGTTGAATTAACTGATATAGAAGTTGATATCTAAAGTCAATGATCTACAGTTTATCTTGGTTAAAATTATATTGATTAATGTATTACTAGATATTGACATAGAAATTATCATTCTATTTTAAAACACATTATTGTAGGTGGGAGGCAATTATTTTTACCTGTCATAATAAAGTGATTGACTAAATGAATGATTGACAACGTAACTTACAACTTACACTTAATTGTTTTTATGAATATGATCATTAAAGTTAGGGTTTTCATTATAAATGCTCACTTCCTTAACACAAAGTGCAAAATTCTACAAATGTGACAAGTTATTTGCTGTAAGTTTATAAACACAGTATAAAGCTCATGAATACTGGTATTATATAAGTAGGGGCAATGTTTTTATTGATTACAAGTCACAGCCTCTTACCAAGCTATTTAAATAAAGTGGACCACTGGCTGTCCTATCTATTTGTGTCCCCTCATGCTCCCCAAAAAAAACAAACACCACTTGGAGGATAATGTCATTTATTTAAATTATTTGAAAATAAATGACTAACTAATTAAATAAACCCACTATCAGCTTGTGAAAGGGCTTAACCCCAGAATTTTACAAAATACTGCCATACACATTTAAGGCAGACCACCTAAAAGAAGCTATTTGAATAAAGTAGACCACTGACTGTCCTATCTATTTATTGATAAGGGGTGTGGTTTGCATTATTCAACTTGTGAAATTTTCACTCATTTCATTTAATCTTCACATTTCGGATTTACAATAATGAAATATTTTCACTGTTAAAATGATCTCTTAACAAATATTCTGAACTTGTCTCAAAATGTAGACATGAGAATAAATTCTTCTTGTCTAACTTCAATAGGGATGCAGGCTGAAAATAGGTCAGTTGTCCAAAAATCGCATAGCATGAAACTCTGAGTAACAACATGATTCAAGTTCTGTTTTGATATATCATTTCAGATTTATTACAGTGTACGAGTGAACCAAATGTATCCATACCACAATTGGCTAATTTACTTATTGAACGTACTCAACATCCCAATTGGGTTGTGGTATTCAAATCTCTTATTAGTGTACATAACCTGATGAATTATGGAAATGAGGTAAGTAATGATATATAATAATGTTATAACTATAACTTATTATTGAGTTATTCTTATTTAACGGAATGACCATATTAAATGGAAGTCTATTAACGGAATGACCATATTAAATGGAAGTCTATTAACTGAATGAACATATTAAATGGAAGTCTATTAACTGAATGAACATATTAAATGGAAGTCTATTAACTGAATGAACATATTAAATGGAAGTCTATTAACTGAATGACCATATTAAATGGAAGTCTATTAACTGAATAAGCATTTTTAATCAGAAACTATTAAATGAAGGAGCCTATTCAATTTAAAGCCATTTGGTGATTGGAATGATAAAATTGTAAAGTTTACTTAAGTGTTAATAGTTTTCAAAATCTATTACACTTAAGTCATGCCTCGTGCCCTTTTTTTAAGATCATCTACATAATAGGAACTAAAACGTGCTCTTCTGAGTTGCACTCAATTACCTTTTTGATTTCTGGGCTCTACTATTAGACGAGTAGACATTTTTCGTATACTCAATAAAGTTACATTCCAATTACATATATTTTCACTCTTTTTTTGTCCCCCATTATTACCTATTTTAAACTTTTTAAGACCCAATCAAAAAGCATTAGTATTTAAATTGTTAAAATATAACTAATTACCATAACCGCTATGTAGAGTAATTGTGTTTATATTACCCTATTGATTTAGTAATCATGTGATATAGTCATCATTATTATCATTATCTCCCCTCTCTGATTGGCAGTCGATCAATATTTCACATGTTAAGACGACTGACGGTAGATAATTGCTGATGTGACATATCTTCCTTGTGGTAATCAAAACAAATAGAATGGATGCAAAATGGCCTTTGATAAGCCAAAACATATCTGATGATTGAATATAAATTTGCTCTTGACCTTGAAAATAAAGAGTATATTGGTTGTCGATCAATATTTCACAAGATGACTGACTGATGGTAGATAATTGCCGACGTGACCTATCTTCCTCATGGTAATCAAAACAAATAGAATGCATGCAAAATGAGTCAATAAGCCCAAACATAAAAATTTTGCCCTTGACCTTGAAAATGATGAGTATATTGGTTGTCGATCAATATTTCACAAGATGACTGACTGATGGTAGATAATTAGCCAGAATGCTTTGAAATGGTGTGTTCACACTGTGTACCTTATTATTGATACATTCTAAAGCACTTTAATAACCACTTTCACATGTTCGACTCTTAGATGACTGACAGGAGATAATAAAAACAAATAGAATAGAAGCAAAATGGTTATTGATAAGCCCAAACATATAATCTGATTGTCCTTGACTTTGGAAATTGATACAATATCCTTAGAAAAGTTATTATGATACAATGCTCCTGCGATTGTTATTTTCTATGCTATAATAAAGACACATTGTAGAAAAATTTAATGATTTGTTGGTTTATAAAATCTGTTCTCAAACTCATACTTTATATTTTGAATTTCAGAGATTTACACAATACCTGGCCTCGAATAACTGTACCTTTAATCTGGGTGGGTTTATGGACAAGACCGCGTTTGATATGTCAACAGCCATTAGACGATATGCGAAATATTTAAATCAAAAAGCCTTCTCCTATAGACAGATGGCTTTTGATTTCTGTAAAGTGAAACGAGGGTGAGTTTTCTATCTTTTTCTAAAGAAATAAATCACGCACAATAGGCTTAAAAGATCATAGTGAAAATAGGATGCAAAATATGAAGAAATATGAAATATGAATTAGATATTTTACTGATATTTTCCTCTCCATTGTAATCTTACAAGTATTCTACAACAGTCCCGTTCTAATGTTATTTTTATCCAATCAAATATGAGTGGGACTGTGGATTGAGACCAAATTTTATAACATTATTTCCTACCCTTTATTACAGGAAAGATGATGGATTATTAAGAACTATGAACACAGAAAAAGTATGTATTTTGTTGATATAACTTACTTTGAAAGGACTGTTGCTGTTAATCAAACAAATAATCATTCAAGTTGTTTCTAGTTGTCATCATTCTTTTAACATAAATTCTAGTTGCTTAGCAGCTAAGAACATGGTATGAGTCTAGACTCAAGATTAAATATCGTGGAAGTCATAAGCTTACACGTCACAGTTCTGGACAAATAGTTAGTTGATAAAGAATTCAGGAGTTCTATTGTTTGTTCATAAATTTTGCACAAAAATACCTGGAGTTGCTTAGCAACATTTCTGATTCACAGAGAATTTATTTGTAAGAAGCCAGATGTAACGAAAAATGAATGTCTGAAAAAAATGAAGATTAAATTTGATCGTGTGTGGTCTTACGATAAGAAACAATAATTCAACTGATTGTAAGATTATTTGAGAAAATGAAAATATGTTTTTAAGTTATTCTTATACATTAATGGTATAACTATTGTATTTCAGTTATTAAAAGCATTACCCTGTTTACAACAACAAATAGATACTCTTATAGAATTTGATGTAAGTAGTTTACTCTTAGGCAATGTCTACACCTTTTCAACTGACATCAAGACCAAAAATTATTCATTATTCATAAAATAAAAGGTATTTCAACTCCGAATCACATTAGTATTACAATGAATAACAGTATACTTACATAATAGAAATTTTTTTTTTTTGAATAGCTTTACAAAAAGTTTGTAGAATTAATTGTACAAAAAACAAATGGGTATATAAACTATCATGGGATAAATACACGAAACAAAAATAGTGTTTATGTGGACTCTCGGAAAGAGATGCTAAAGTGCATTTGCACATTATTCATGTTTGCCTATATTTTTGAATTTCAGACATCCCCTAATGAATTAACTAATGGTGTAATGAATGCAGCATTTTTATTGTTATTTAAAGATTTAATTCGATTATTTGCTTGTTATAATGATGGTATTATTAATTTACTAGGTATGTATAAATTTCTTCCTTGGGAATTATTTTCACTCTTTTAACTAATTACATCGAAATTACACACGTGGGGATACACCTTTTCTCACATATACAGATAATCTGCACTTTAACCTTTTAAAGGTGGATTCCACTCAAGTGAATATAAGATAGTATTCACATTTTTTCTGTATTATTAAATAAGAGTCGCAAAGGTGCTTTAAAATACCAAACTATGAGTATATTTGAATACAGGGTAAATACATTTTTAAAAAATTCATGTTTCAAATTTGTAAATGTATCTAGTTCAAATGGTTATTTAAGTATATCTGGTAATATCAATTTTTTTTTTTTTTCAGAAAAATATTTTGATATGAATAAGAAACAATGTAAAGAAGGGTTAGAGATATATAAAAGATTTTTAGTCAGAATGGATAAAGTCTCAGAATTCTTACGAGTGGCAGAAGTAAGTCATGATATCTTTGTTATAACAGCCGTCCCGTAGCCGTCTATTGCATAGAGTTGGTCATTTTGCGTGAGAAAATGGTACACTTAAAAATAGTTATAAAAAAAGGATCAAACGCCTTGTTCTATATTTCCATATTTTTTTAATATATTTAATATCATATTATATTTAATACTTTGTGGCCTATTTGTCAAGAAGGTTTTACAGAAAAATAAAGTCATATAGTATTGGCACATAGATATCATATTAGCTGTTGTCTTTTCCTAAGTAGCAGTCTGTATACAAAAAAAGCCCTGTATAGATATATACTATTTCTAAATTTGATAATGCAACATAACTTCCCAATACTCATATAGGTAACATTAACAAATGAATAGCATTGTATATCCCTTATAAAACTAAACTTTCTTTATTGATAGAATGTTGGTATTGATAAAGGTGATATTCCAGATTTAGCCAAGGTAAGATTTGAATTATACCATCATTTTTTTATTGTTTGCCGTATTTCTTGAATCGTGACATAGATTTATTGACGTTCAAGAATTATTCATATTGGCTATATTTCTTATTTGTATTTTCTTTTTCTAGAGGTTTATGAAATTTAATATTTTTGTGATGCTTTCAATAACATCATCTCTTAATTTTCGTTCTCCATTGAAATCCCTGTATATGTTATTTTACTCATCTTTTATAACATGCAACTTTCTGAGCACGACCCTACTAAATTTCCCCTTCTTGTGTGTTGTATACATGTGGCTGACTGACAAACCATAAGACAAGCTTTTATCTTGATTGTTTATGGCTAATTCTGCCAAAATACACCATGTGATATGGGTTTTTTTTAACAGGCCTTTATTAATTTTTTCAGAATTAGTTCAAAATGATTCCGTAGCATGTTATGCAATTTTTATTTTCGTTTCTGTAAATTTTCTTCTATGTCAGTCTGATTATTCTCCTAGACTTTTTATTTTTTAAAGCTAAGCTATCTTTTTTATTTGGCCCATATTGTATTTACTACATACTTTTGCATGCTGCTTTTTTTCTAATTTACAAATAATTTATAATACGCATGATTATAATATTTTTAGACTAGCAACTTTATTATGCTAAAATTTAGATCTAGATTATTTGTGTTTTGCTCAAATTCTGTAAATTTTGATTTTCTCCTTAGGGTATGAAACAAGGCCAAAATGGAGTAAGTTAGTCAGTCAGTCACATACAGTTCTGCTTAAAATTGCCCTAAACCCTTTTTACTAACCAATAATTCTTAAAATTATCATCACTTATCTTAACTTTTATTATTAAGGAAGGGGTATATTCTAATGGCTTCAATAGATGAACTGATTCTAATTGACAGTATCACTAATATTATTAAATAACAAAGTTTATTTTAAGCTGAATAAGACCATGGTAGCCTTTTACACAAAATGCAACTATATATTTTGTCGTATAGTATTTCTCTATGTGAATTTCCACATTTAATTTTCTTGAGAAACCATTCCTTAGACAGTTCCCTCAAAACTCATGAAACTATGTTCTTATATTCTCTCAAAAAAGAATCAGTGTCCTGTTTCACAAAATAAGTTTGCAATACAAGAATTTGTCCTCAGTGTAGAATACCTTAAGAAGAAATTAATGGTAACATTTTAGAAACAGTACCCTGGATTTTTTATATGGCTTTGTCTGGTGTTGCTCAATACTGTGCCTGTTGTAAGACATACTTTTCATTACTTTCATGATCATTGACAAGACCCTTGTTTAATGTATTAACCAAATGGTGTGTGGTTTTCATTATTCTTTGATTCATTTTTGCTTTAATTTTATTTTAGAATTCAGTTTATCATTGATTAATTTTATTATATTATTGGTTTTTAATGGAACTTTGTTATAAAAAGGCTACTAGATAGCTATTTCTGGTTATATTTCTTCAAATAAATCTGCCAATAAGTCGAAACTTATACCTGGTTGGTTTTTGTTGCCGTTGATATATGGTAACCATTTTGTGAGCTTATTTGTCAAAAAATGATTAACGTGTGTTGCTATGAACAATCTTTCCATAGAAATTTAGGCAATTTAAAATATTCGAAATAGAACAACTTGAAATCATAAATAATCAATATTGATATCATATTACTAATGTATATAAAAAATCAAGCATGAAAGCTTGGCTCATTAGAATAGACTATTAATGAAGAAAGCTAGCTAGAATGACCTTTAATTAATGTTATGCCTTAATATTAGTCTTAAACAACTGCTTACAAATATTCTATAAAATCTGGTAATATAGAAAATTTACCCCAAAAATAAGTTAACAATCATTTAAAAAATGTTTTGATTTTGGTTTATAGTTATATTTTTCTCTTTATTTGTGTTATAAAAGTTTAATTATGTTTTTGTCTAATTTTCATTTTGATGATATAAGATTTTATCAGTAAATGTATTGATGATATTAAACATGTATTTATTATGATAATGATGTTATTCCAGGCTCCAGCTAGTCTCTTGGATGCTTTAGAACAACATTTAGCTCAGTTAGAAGGAAAGAAAGCTGGCTCACCTCCTGGTAATAATGCTATGTAAGTAACTTTTTATTAGGATATTATTAAACGTCTTTGGGGGTCAATGGATTATGAACTGGGTACATTCAAGATTTTTTTTAATTCAATTTTTTAGCAGAATTCAGTGATTTCAAAAGATTAATTTAACCTTTTTAGAATTGCATGTAGAATGTCAGTCTAGGTGGTATATCAAATTTTACTGATTATTTTCACAAGAATTGCAAATATTCAAAATATTGTTAGTCTAAGAATGACTGTGTTGATAAAGATATAAACATGAGCACAGATTTTAACTTTGAAATTTGTTTTTACAGAGGTTGATTTCATTCAAATTGATGACATTCTCGTTCAAAATTCCAAAGTCACTCTAAGATTGTCAGTATTTTTTTGAAGCTTATATTCAAATTAAGTTAACAGTAACTGTGATTAAATAGTAAAATTGAATCAAAGTTACTGTAACTATATTTTCAGGCCAGCTGGTTTTTCCACAGCATTAAACACCATATCTAGTAACAGTACTGTTAAAGTCAGTGATGAAGAGAAGAAGAGAATTTTAGAAGAGGAAAACAACAGATTACAACAATTAAAGGTATATATCAAATTTCACCTTATCATGTTCTCAAATTTACTTAATCTGTGTGTTAAGAATCCCTTGGTCTTATATTTTTCCAATAAAGTAAAAAACTGCATGGCTGTTGCACAGCCGATGAGGGTGTTGAAATGACATCAGTTGATTTTTAAGTCCAAATGGTTGTCATGGGTTTTAATCTAGGTGCTCTTTAATAAGTCATAATTCCTGTCAAACCAACTGTATATTGGTACAGATAATTCGGGAATTATAAAGATGTGTAACTAAGGACCACCTGGTATAAAGGATCCTTGTGAACCTAAGATGTCACCCTTGTAAAAAATGGTTGTTTCTTTCCTTTTATTTCATAGATTCATAGAAATTGGAAAGTTTCAAAACAATATGCGTTGAATGTATTGTAAATTATTTTTATCTTCAGGAACAAAGAGTGCAGGAATTAACAACTTCAAATTCTCCAGTTTCTTCATCCTCTCCCCCTCAAAATAACCCTTTCACTCCCCCAGCATCCACTCAGAAACAAGGGAGCATCGATTTATTTGGACCAAATTCTCCTACTAGTGTCAACCAACAGAATAACGCAACGTCTGCCAGTGGTAGACCCAGTGACGATCTGTTAAATATGACTGGTAATCCATTTATGGAGAGTGTGCAAAATGTCATGGCAACAGCTTATTCCAATAATAATCCGTTTGGTGGACAACCTGCACAACCTGCGGCAACAAACAGCTGGGCAACAAATGGTAATGTCTCTGCATGTAAGAACACATTTGAATATAATTACATAAGTGAATTTTTGGCTTAAAAAAAGAATTGTGTGAAATGATAGTAGTCTATGAAATCATATGATTCTACAATGGTAAATGTCATGTGACTTCACTGATAATTGACTAACGTCAACAGGGCTACATATCAATTGATATTCAGCTTTCATTTCCAAACATTTTTACTGAGAATTATTCTAACATGGTTTAAAATTATAGTTAGGATTCATTGAGATCAACATGAAGGGCTTTCTTAATCTTTCATTCATAGTAAAGTTTGAAGTGGTATGAAAAAAAAAAATTCTATGTTCTCTTATATGTTTCAGCTGCTCAAAATAGTTTTACAACAGATGCAGACTTTGCTAAAGCTTTCAACAACACATCAACACCTTCATCAGGTTAGTTCATTAGAGTTGTCTTCTCTTGTTACTATGGATTAAGAATTATTTCCCTTCTCTCTATTTCTCTGCTTATTGGACGGCTTTGGATATGTTTATTTAGCTTTGGTTTTAATTTAATGAAATATATTGTTTAGGATCTAAAAAGTAGATTTGCACTTGGTCTTGGGATATTCTAAAGTGTTGGGCCTCATAGTAGTTGATAAGTATTGATATATTTTAAAGCACAGATTTAGGCCTACTTCTCTATGAATTATGGCCAATATGAAGGGTTTTTTCTCATAATATTGTGGATATTTTGATCAGTATTTTTTGATATTGATAAACGATTGTTTGATTTCACATGAACACAACACCAAAACCCCCACAAATCCTACTTCCTCTCCACTCTTGCAAGAATACCCAAAGCCAAAATATTTTTTAAAAAATGTTGGTATTAATTGTGTATCTAAGAAATCTGATCGGTAAAATCACTGACTATCTGAAATTGTAACGTGTCCCGACATACAAATATAAATTTCTCCATACAAACATAGATATGTGTACACATTTCAAATCTTTAAAACATACAATCTACATTATTTTTATGTAGTTCTGATCCAAACTCCTGGTTGATTTTCAATAACCTTTCATTTTACCTCAAATTAAATTAGATTGTTTGTTTTTTATGGTGTTTAGAAATATCTTTAACTCAACTACACAATATTTAAATGCCAAATAGCCTAATCTAGCCATCCCATTTTATTACAGTTCCCTTCCCTTCTTCCCTCTTCCTTTTAAACTAATTTTTATCCAACCTCAAACTAAAATCACTTTCTTTACATTTTCTCACTTCTACTAACCAATAATCAATTTCATAAAATAAACAAAAATGTATCTTTTGATAGATATTGTACAGAATGTTATTACTATTACTATGTTATGAACTTTATAAAAAGCAAATTTAGAATTAATTTTATTAAGATTAAAAAGGGCTGGAAACGGCTAACATTGCACACTAGAGTTGCCAGTCTATAAAGCCCAACATTACAAGTGGAAAATAGTAAGATGTAAAACTGTAATTTCTCTTGGCCTTCAGAAAGTCAAACAATATTTATATGACACAATATTGGTATAAGATAAAATAATAACAGTGAACTTATTTCTTCTTAATCTTACATTTGGATTATGGGAATTAATATTGGCTTATAACTTTTTTCATTTAAGCAGATTCCAAAAGTCATCTTCATTTTTTAGAAAAATTCTATTAAATCATGTTGGTTTTTTATATCGATCTGTAGTTTCATTAATTTTCCAAGATCAAAGGTCTTTCAGAAAAGATTGTTTCTTCTATTTGTTAAAGATGTCATGAATTCATTTAAAAAAAAAATTGTCCTTCTTTCAACATACTTTCAAGTTTTGTTGCCTTAAATGAAAACTTTTTGAATTTTAAAATTTCTTTCTTTTACTAAAGTGTCCTTACTTTTGACTATTTCCTTTTTTGGAATCTGTTTTTGGGTGGCATGGTTGATGCATGTTTTTTCTTCTCTTACTAATAGCAGGTTTAGATGTTTCATTGACAACTACTACTATGGGACCACCAACTATGGGTCCAACACCTAACACTCAAGGTATTGCACATGCATGTACATGCTTTATAACAATTCTTTAATGGTCAATTCAGTACTTTTCTCATTCTTCTTTAGGCTTTTGAGAGTTTAACCAGCAAACTTTTGAAGAAGCTCAAAATTTTGCAGGAACAAAATTTTTGCAAGAATTATTTTGCCACAAAAATAATCTTTTCCATTACTAGTACATGAATTGATCATCATCATATAACTAACTAACTAAATAATGTTTCTGTTTGAGTCTATAAAACTGTTTGATATTGTACATGATTTTATTACTATTGTAATTATTGTTTGTTGCTTTTTTGAACCTTAGACCCATTCTACGCTACCAGTAATAATTTCCCAGTACTGGAACCACAAAAATCACCAGAGAAGAGTATGTATAGGACAGGTTTTGTCCTGTAATCCAGCTTCAAATTATTATAATCAGCACTAACCTATTAGCAACAAATAATATACTGCTGAGTTATTTGCTCAAAGCTACCATGCAATATGAATTTACAAAATATTTTGTTTTAAGTTCGTTTTTAGTTTTTTATCCCGAGAACAAGCTAACTCTTTATTTTTTAACTGATTAAGTTTAAGTTTTCACTTTTGTTTCTCAGTCTTTGACTGAAATAAACAAGTATTCTTTTAGTTCCGTTTTGAATCCTTTTACCATTTGATTTTCTTACTTTAAAGTTTGGGAATTAAGACTTTCTAAGAACCATTTTGTTAACAAGTTTTTAGATTATCATGGTAGCTTTAATCATTTCAGCTTGAAATAAAACCCTTGTATTTATTCTTTCTTCTAAGCAGCTGTTGATTTGGAATCTCCTCTTGACCCGTATGACCCTAAATTTTCTCATAAAATTGGATCTTCTCAGAATCAGGACATTCTGGGCTTGTCTTCTGGAATTTCTCCAGCTCTAGATATTCCTGGGGCATCCCCAATGGGCATGTCATCAGGGATGTCTCCAGGATTTGATATGCCAGTTGGTTCTCCTATGGGGAGAAGTGCTGGCATGTCGCCTGCTATGGACATCTCTGGTGCATCTCCAATGGGAATGGGGATGGCTTCACACGGAGCTATGGGTAGTATTTTTGGGACAAGTCCTTCTTCCTCCCCAGCTACAGGTATTGGGTCTCATTTATATCTTATCTTTATGTGGTGTTAGAACATAGAAAATGTATTCAATCATAGATATCTGCTGAATTTCTATACACTTTACTTGAGAAAATATTGATTTCTGATTGATCTTTGATATTAAAGGGAAAATTTAGCGGCACTATTCTCGTTAAATTTTGCAGTATCATATAACAAAATCTTTGGAAATCTGCAATTACGAATGCCTTCATATTGGAGATTTTAAAATTAGCTTTAAAATATGAAATATCTTCATAAACAATTCAAACTTAATTGGTTAATTGGTTATTTGATATATCATTTACCTTTATTTTCCTGTTTGGCAACAAAAATGAAAAGAAAAGCAGATATCTGTGATACCTAGATAATAGCCTAGCCAATATTTATTGTACACAAGAAAATAGATTCAAAGACATAAGCGTAGAGAATTTCCCAATTAGGCTTATCATGCTTACCTACATCTGAAAACAAGAGGAAATGCTTTTGATATAGCTGTTACTATTAGCGAATGATATATATATATATCTATATAACTTCACCTTGTATATCTCCATATACCTTCAATTATTTAATTGATTCACCTCCTTCTGAACAGTGGGGTGTAAAAATTTATATTATTATTTACCTTTAGTTGTACTTCAGTTCATATGATTTACCTAGAGTTCTTTAGGATGTAAAACTTCATTTCATTCCATAGATGTCTATATCATTTATATATGAATGTACATGTAGAAGAATTGGATGTTAAACTCTATTTCAGTTCAGTTTCATTTCATAGATATTCACAATATGTTCCTTAATATGTTTTAGTTTATCTACATAGATTGAAGACTGTATTCATCATCCTATTAGTTAGACATCAAACAAAAGCACTATTATGGCTATAACAAAATGAGATGGTTATAGTGAAGTAAAGTTAAGCTGCATACTTCCCTAAAGCTTTCATTTCCTTGTCTCGTTAATTGCAACATCACGAAAGAGAAACTTTATTTGTAAACAGGAATTTGTTCCAAAAATCAGAAAAAAAATGATGATAGTATGAAATGAAATGCTGGTGGGGTGATCTGTTGATAAAAAGAAAACTATCGATGACAATATTTGTTCATTTAATGAGAAAAAGTGGTCTCTATATTAATGATCTGTTGATCATACCACTCAATCTCAGTGTGATGTGTGAGTGTTCAGTGTTCATATATAGCATGATAATCATCCATGTATTATATAGAATCTACCAGGGCTGTTGCATTTTGTCAATCATTTAAGTAACTTCAAATTCAGGAATTTTGTGATGACAATTTAAATATCCACAAGAATATCTCATATTTAGGTCTTAGTTGAAAGGTACTACCTCATTGAATGGACATCAAATTTAAAGTCTCAAACTTGGTCAATGAGAGTACATATTCATCAGTTGGACTTACCAGGTGTTATGCCTAAAGAATGGAATCTCTTTATAAGACTAATATATCCATTAAACTAAGTAATTATTGAAAAAAAAGCTTGCTTCACAATTACTTAATTTACTGAATTATTACTTAGTTTTATGGATTTATTAGATTATAGAGGGATTCTTTTGTATAGTTTTGACAACAGGTAAGTCCATTGATGAACAAAGACTCATTTTAACCAAGTATTAGAATTTCAGTTTTTTGATCATCCTAAGAGGTAGTATACCTTTAAAGATGAAAATTTGTAATGTATATTAGAACTGGTCGAAAAAATACAAACAAATCGACAGCCCTGGTACAAGCAACTTTCTTTTTCAGATAATGAAATAATTGATATATACATACATAGTTATTTGGTATCATATGTAATTACAAACTGTCAAAATCCAAATTTATCCAAATTTCATTTAATTTCATGTGATATTATGACACTAGACCATTTTGTAAACATTTACAAATAAATAGTTTGGTTAGTTTTATATTCATCCTTCGATCAATATGTACTTTTGCTCACAAAATAATGTGCCATGAATTAAAGCTCTAAAGAATTGACATATAAATTTGTCATTGAGAGATTAATATGTATTTATTGAGAAGATTGAATTTGTGTAAATATTGGTTAAATAAACTACTGTCTAATGCAATAAATATATAATTAAGCATTACATCACGCCTCATAAAGAAAGTAAAGTAGGGATATATGAAATAACATAACTTCTGTCTAAACCTGTATATTAACAATTGATAATGCCCAAATTATTTATCCAAGTTTCTAATTCAAAACTTTGTTTTAGGATTCCATGATTATAATTTACCACCAAGTCCAGGTGAGAGATCAGCCTCATACAGAACTTTTTAGATTTTACGGAATTAAAATATTTTCTTAGTTTTTTGAAAAAAAATTTATGACATAGTTATTCCTTTTTTTAATTACTTTTCATCGCTATTTCAATTACTAATTTTTTTCTTTATTATAGAAATCCCTTGTTAAAACATAACATGCTTATTTTAACACTTTTGAAAATTTTAGTATTGTTACATATTTTGCAATGTGAAGGATATTTATGCACTTCTTAATACGAATTTTATTTTGATGTAAATTGTATGTTCCAATGATTCTAGCTCTGAGCATGAGAGATTGGTCTTCGTTTTGTTTTAAATTTACCTGGGAGTGCATATATTGGAATCAACTATACAGTTTCTTATTTACTATTATCTTTTTCTTCTTGCTTCTAAAGTTCCACAAATGGGCCACATGAGTCCAGCGATGGGATCACCTAGTCTAGGGAGACATAGCCCTGCTATGACTGGGCTAGGAGGAGGTCTAGGAGACCTTGGGCAACTTGGTTCATTAGGATCATTGGGATCAAGTCATCCAACTAGTGACATGGGAGGAACAGGTGACAACAGAGACAATAATTGAAATTTATTCAGCGTATTTATTTCGTAGAATTTAGATGTCCAAAATTCTTTGTCTTTATCTTGTGTCCTTAATCATTTGCATTTATAAATTAAAACATTTATGTCATTGGTACGTAATGCATGCTCTGTTGAGAATTTCCTAAAACATATTTAACTTATCATGATATATTCCTATCAAAACCATCATTTAAAACGTCAAAATTGATAGACAGGTGGTGGAGTATTAGTATACCCCTTAATAGACATCCAAGGTTTATATCTCTGATGCACCTATTGTTCAATCAAGAACATTTTATTGGTTTTAAAAAGTTTTTAGACATTTGATTTAGACACTGGGTTTTGGCAAGTAGATTTTGATTGTTTCAATTTTATCATTGAAGCACAAATTATTTTTTATAATAGTATAGCATAGTTAGAAAAAGATGAATTTTATTTTTAACAACATCTGAGTGAATTTATATTTTGTAAATGATATTACAGTTTATTTTCAGATAATCTTTATTTAATGTTTTTTTTTTAATCCTTATCCCAATCACCATGTTGACCCAAATCTTGTTTTTAAGTCACATGTATGTATGTATGTATATATATATATATATGTATGTATGTGTTTATTTCAGAGTACACACATTTTTGTCAGCCATTGCTATGTATGCATGCACTTTCATTCACTCTGTTCAGTGTTTCTTATTATTGAGTAGTGTCTATGTTGAAAAAAATATCATCAAGGGAGATAATTTCATAATTGATAAATATCTTTTATCTGAAATCTGAAAACAAAATTGAATGATTAGCATATATATTGATATAATGAAAATTATTCTCAAATTTTCTTAACACTTTGTTGACATAGTCATGAAGTATTATTAATTTCTTGTATTATGTTGTAGGTTTTGATGCATTTGGTGATGTGTTACAACCCTTATCAACAAATACACCTCAAAATCAACAAAAACAATCAGCTGGGCTTGCAAAAGATTTAGATGCTAGTCTAGTTCAGTTAGCTGGTAATCTCAATATTAAAGGAAGTAACAGCCAAATTAAAAAGTAAGTTATTGCTGCTATGTATTATCCTGAATATTTTGTAAATTAACCAAGTCAAGTTGTTCATGCTTTATATCTGTTTACTGGAGTGGACCATGATGAATCTATTATAAAGAAAGAAGCCCTGGGTTCTGTTCCTCAAAAATTTTTAAGATTAAAATTGGCCCCATGTGTTAGATTTTCAAATTTTATCATAAATTTTTTATTGCAAACAGAGCCATTCCATCACAAGTTATTCTTTAGAATAATATAAACCGAGAGAACCTTTCATTATAATATCTTGAATTAAAAAAAGTCATGTATAATAAAAATCTTATTTTGTCTTAGAACTGATCACCAGTGGCAACCTAAAGGAGAACAGAAATTAACAGGAGGTACCAACTTTGCCCCACGACCAACATCTACTGGCCCAACATGGAACCCACAATTTCAACAACAACAAAATATGGTATGTCTTGATGTACTATGTACCTAATACTTTATACTCCCCAATCAAATTGTGTTTATTGGTATATCTACTATTTCATTACTGTTATGGGATTTTTATCAGCTTTTGATGGAGCTTGTTTAGAACATTTAACTTTCTTCCATCAACTCCTGAATTTTTAGTTTTGCTTTTATAGAGTATGGCAAGAATAATTGATCCCAAATTGCTGTTTGAAACTTTATTTTAGACTTTGTCATGATAAGCACTCACTGATAGTCAGTCAAGGATATTTTCAGCAAACACATTCCGGAGAAAACCGTGTCAAATAATAATAGTGATATTCTTTGTAAGCGACAAATTTCTTTTTTTGCCCTGTTGGGTAATTTATCTTTATATTTGTAGATGGGAGGCCCAGGTCAAATGGCACAACCCAGAATGGGATATGGTGCACAAGGAATGCAAATGGGACAACCAATGATGGTATGTAGAATTCAGTCTCTTGTTTTCAGCTTTCAAGCAAAAAACAGACTCTTTTTAGTCTTTTGACTGACATGAAAATGGTCCTACAATACATGCTTTGATTGGTTTTAAAATAACTTCATTGGAACAGGAGTGTGATGGAAAACATGTTAGATTACCATGAAGACAGTTACAGAAAAAAAAATTGTTAGTTAATATTTATTAAACAATTCTAAGTCTACAAACTATATGTCATGACTGTCTCTTTTTCAGGGTATGCAGCAGCCAATGGGCATGCCTAATATGGGAATGGGAGTTGGGATGGGCATGCAGCCACCAGCTTATGGAATGCAACAACCCATGGGATTCCAACAACCTAGACCACCTACTCAACAACAAAATATCAATGATCCATTTGGAGCCTTGTGAGGAAAGCTATTGAAATAGGTGAATATATATATAATTGACTCTTTCATTTGGGTCGCTATTTATTGACAATTTTCACCATGTTAAAAGCCAAAGTTCATATATAGATAATTAATTTATTGCCTTTCTTTGATGTTCTTAGCATGGAACTTTCATGGTTTCTTGCATTCATTTCTTTAAGAATTTATTGCCTACATCTTCAATTAATTAAAATATCTTAAACTATCTGATATAGCAAACTACATCCCTTAAGAGCCTAGCAAAGAAAATGTAGTATGTTTTTTAATCAAACTGTCTTATACTCCATGTTAGAAGTGATAGCTATCTCTTGGCGTAGATATATGAAGCTACCAAAAAAACATTATTTTATTTATAGGGAATCTGTGACAAATCAATTGGCACCTTTTGCCTAGGAAGTCAGGGAATGTTTTAAGAGAATGTATTTTGAACTCTAACATAATATTTTAATATCTGGATCTTTTCAGAAATTCATCAATGTTATGTTATTCTGCTGAACTACACGAAGAAGCAGACCAAGAGAAGAATTCAAAATACAAAATCCTACACACTGTTTGGTTAAAATTCCACCAATGATTAGGTTTACGAGAAATTTGAATTATAATCACATTATAAAGTTGGGATGCAATTTGAATTATTATTCCTATAATCTATTCACTTGTTAAGTTGTATTATATATCTTGCACATTTTGTTAACATCCTTTGGATCCATTGTGTAGATAGTAACAATAGTATATTATCACAGCTCTCTCACATTAATATAATTTATGTTAATATATGCGCATATGTAATGACTATATCTGTTCTTATAGACACAAGAAGTACTAATTGTGAGATGGATTAAAAAAAATGTAAACCTAACATGTGAATATGTAAACTGCATGTACATTGCTATAATTATGAATCAAATTTTGAAATACTTGCTGGAAAATAATGCCAAAAGTTTTTGTTTGAATCCTTAATTTGCATATCATTTGCATATGAATATCATGGTTGCCAGGTTACTACTTGTAGACTCTTGTCTGAGGACAGTTAATGGGTCCAATTTTTACAAAGAATCAAAGTTAGATGTAACTGACATATATGAGAAAATAGACTACAAAGTTTATATAGTGAGAAAATATGAATCAAAGTCCTAGTGTGTTGTCCTAAAAGATATCCCTTTACATGAAATAATGTGTAATTTGTAAATAGATCATGAATACTTGTACTTATTGTAATATATAAGCTATTATTATTATTATTTGTGTTAGAAACAAGAGTATAGGGGTATATTCAACATTCACTTTCAATAGGGATAAATACTGCTAATTCACTTTCTACTATATCTGTAGGCCACAACTTATGTAGCATTTTGGCTAGTTTAGCTCATTTTGAACATAAAGGAGTATATTGATAATGAATTAAGAAATTAGTGTGAAGTAATTTAGTCAGATTAGTGTATTGTTCTATGATGTTAGGTGGTGACAAGAAATACTTTTAATAGAGTGATTTAGTAACATTTGGATTTTAATGTAATGCACTGACACAGGGTTTAACTTACTTCTAATTCTTGTTGAAAAGTTATAATCCTAAAAAAAAACATTTTATAAATAGCCTTGAAACTGTTGCTTCTTCAAAAAATATTACTTAATAAAATATCAAATTTTTGTTTTGATTTACATCATTATACAGCTGATTATTGTATCTTTATTATTTGATCAATCAATGAATTTTTGGTCTCTATGCAAATTGATTTTCCATGATATATATATAACACATTACAAGATTTACTTAACATTGACTTATTATATGACTCTTTAGTCTTTGATTCAAAATTGTTTTATGTGACATTTCTATTTCTCTAGCTGTTTTGACAAGATTCGACAACTCATTATTATAGATGTAGCAAGTCAAAAGTTGCAATTTCATATATATAAAAAAAATACTTAAAGGGACAGCTTTGCTCTCCGTAAGACCAATCTTACTTTACAGTCAGAAACAGAATTTTTTTGAGCTAAACTAATCAATAATAGTGTCCACAGCTCACCATTTAAACCTTTAAATCCATGTGTGTACAGAATTGTCCGCATTTGAAAGTTAAAAAGACAACTCTTTTCTACAGAAATAGAAAGTTATAGTACTTCTGAAGTCTATTTACATATATTCAAGACCCAAATCACCTCGGAAAATGGCAAATCTGTCCCTTTATATAAAACTTTGTTGAATTTATTGTGAAATAATAGTCATAGGATCTTCTTAAAACGTGATAGTTCTGATGTTTATTGCTAAATATCTCTCAGACAGAATATCAACTCATAATCTCATCAACCGACATTCCAAACTACATATTAAACTCATTGATTATATTTGATCTTAATCTGGTATTAGTAGAGGGTAATTACACGAGAGAAATTTACATCAGGCTTCTCAACAATAGAATGATAACTTCTTTTCTGATATGATAAATTGGTTTAAGGGCTGGCTAAGGAAATTCAACTGTGTGTAATTGCCCTCATGTCCCATAAAAAGGTAAAAATTTATGAAATTATGAAAATGGCAAAGAATAATCATCAGATTTGATTAAGTTACAGCTCTGAAAGTTGAACCTTCAACAATTCTTCATTTAAACAACTGAACATGCCAAATAAAAAAGAAACGTCTTGAAGAATTAAGAATATGTGGTAAATTTTGGCAGGTTTTTCTGGTAATAAGATGAATTGTGTATAAAAGTGTATATAGTAAAATATTTGTCATAATTGCATGATGAAAGTGCTTATTATTGTTAAAATCTGTTTCTGTGAATAGAGGTAGCAAGAATCAAAAATAATCTTGATTAAAAATTATACTGTATTGGTGTATATTTGTAAAGTTTATGTGCAATGCAGTGATGATCTGGGAAATTGCTGAGATTAAATTTCCAACATTTGATGATGAGCAAAAAGTAAAATAAAGTCAAAAGCTGGAGATATAGACTAAATTTTGGAACTAGATCTTGATCAGATTTTATTTAAGTTTCCAGTTTTCCAAGATTTAATGTTCTGCATGATATTTACCCAATAATTTTCAGGAAATGTCTCCAGCAAGTCTAGATTGAGTCAATAAACTAAGAAGATATACACCAGTATTATGCATACCTAGATCTAGCTATATTCATTTAATCTCTCACTATTTCTTCTATTATATATATATATATTGTTCTCTAGGATATTTTATTTCATAGGTCAGGCTTGAAATTACATTAGTGGAATTCAATTATTGGTGAAGGCAAAAATTTGAGCAGCTTCTAGATTAAGGTGATGGATTTGTTAGAATATTGGAATTTCAAATATGGAAAAGCTTAAGATATGCAATTAATTCATCCTAAATTCTGAAAGCAAAGTACAGTGAATTTATAAAAGGTATTTTGAACCTGACCTTTGAACTCTAGACTATTTAGGGATTTAAAATGTTCAGTATTAGAATCAGGACATTGAAACAACAGAAAAGGGCTTCTGTGATTGGTTAATAAATTGAGAGGTAGCCAGTAACGTCAGATGTATAAGATATATCACTTAATGAAGAATAAAAATATAAAACATATCTCAATCTTTGCAGTGTTTAGCTGTCCAGAAGTGCTGAAACTGAAAAAATATCCATTGTTCATATTTTAATGAATGGCTGTGATACAGGATATTAGGTGCCTGAACAATTGGGACAGCCAATTGGGTCAGATACCACCTGGTCCTCAGCTAACTGTTGGGTACTGGTATTTCTGTACCCATTTACAGCCAGATAGATTGGAATAGTGACGAATAAAACGCTTTTTTATGCCCACTTCCATAAGAAGTTATCAACGATGAACCGTTATTCAATGTAACCAAGCATCATGATATAAACTGGCTCCCATAGATAGAACTACAGTCTGACATCTACACAAATCTTAATGAAATGTACATCATAAAATATATTTTCAAATTTATTATACATAAAATGCATTACATTTGTAAAGGTTTTGTCATATTTGCATATACTTCCACACCACAAAATTAGAATCCTTCCCTTTTCTATGATAAAGGATCCAAAACTAGAAAGAAATTTGACATGCAATAAACACCCGTTTATGATTTTGATACCAAATTTGTTGATACAGTAAAAGACTTTGCCTTGCACTGTTATATCACTATCATTATTATATTAAGACAGTCTACTATCTGCATTTGTAACATCAGAATGAATGATATTGGCAGCATGTGAGCATGATTTTATCAGTTTGTAGATTTTTGTGTTTTTTTTTTCAGATGCTTAAAACTGTTTGCCATTCAATGTAAAGCTTTACCCTGGAGCATTAAGTGATACAGGGATCCAGTTTAGCTAATGTTAGGATTCCTTTTTCACTATTCAATTTTTTCTTGGTTCACAAAAGAACATATATCACACAATCCAAATAAATGCACTTTATAAACCTAAATAGATCTATATCACTTAGTATTTTGATCGTTTGAGATCTCTCGGTTCATATTTTGTGTCAGTTTCAAACGTTCTGAAACAGAGTCTGACTTGTCTAATGGTAAAACATTCCCTTGATTAAAAGCTTCCAACATTTTGGGGTCCTTTTCTAAATACTTTGCAGGTATATGTAAATTCATTGCCTTAAAATGAACCAAAACTTGCTGTAAAGTTTTCTCATCCAATTTATATTCTTTGGAAAGTTTCGAAATAGTTTGTTCATCTGGGGATACTTGGTAAGCAATGAGCATTTTATGCACTAGTCTTAAAGTAACTTTTCCTTCAGGAATTTTATCCGGTTCTCTTATGCCATATTCATAATCTTTTAGTGCACTTCTAGTTTCAGGTAATTTTCGAGCCGATTTGATCTGAAATGAAATGTACAGCAATTGAAAAACATGTAAAACTTGTGAAACATATTTTATAATACAGGGTGGTTGTAGATGACAAGTTAACATTCGTTAACAGATATTGTCTCATATTGCAGACAAGTTCAGTAAAGTGAATACAAAATCCTGAACTCTAGCAGCTGGTAAAAGTAAATTTAAACCACTTCATAACTTGTGAGGAACTTGTGACTTTAGCATATATGAAACATTGTGGATGAGTGCTTTTAACTTTCTCTGCCCTGAGACTACGTACTACTATATCAAACTTCAGTAGGTACTAAGTAGGGCAGGGTAAAATAATCAAAAAATCGATTATCATTGCTATGAATTTATAATTTCGATTGTTGATTATCAAATTTCATAATCACTTGTTTCTTCACAGTTAACAAGTAGTAATCTCTTCAACAGAAGTTCCCTTCAGCACATGTCTTACCCACAGTAAACTATATTAACCAATCAAAGCAAGAATAACCCATGAAATTAAGAATCTGGCATGTTTTTGATTTAGTATTTACAGGGTTTCTCAATTTCTTTAATCAATCACAATTTGGTAATGGATACCCAGCCCAAGTACTAAGTCTCATGCAAGAGTCTGCAGACACCAAAGCAGGCTCACCAAAGCAGGCTATTTGAGTAACAACATTCTTATCCTGTTGTCTATTTCTATTATAGAAAAAAGGTTATCTATTCAGAAAAATTTACGGTACCTCAGCAGGTGGGCCATATGAATCAACCTTTACATCTTTTAACTTCTCCAATAAACCAACATTTTTTACCTGCTGGTCATTTAAAATCTGAGGGTTTTCTGAAATTTATAAACATAATACTACTATTATAAAATCATTGTTATGTTAAAGAACCAGGTGCTTGTGCTGTGATATGCACAGTTCCAAAAAGAATACTTGAAAGAGTCAAGGATAGTTTTTAACTACTATAAACTAAACTGAACTCACTAAATTGAACTTATGAAATGAAATATTTTTTCTTATTTCATACATTTTCAAAATAACACTTTCCACTGTACATAATTTGTCTTAGTTAGAATGTCTCAGGTTCATAGAAATTTAGGTTCATTGATTTTACATTACATTTTATTTTTACTCTTCCCTCCCTAATATCATGTTTACAAATAAGAACTTCTCCTAGGGTTAACATTTTCATCAACCAAAAGACAATCAAAGACTCTACTAAGTGCAAGTCTCAATAGTATTTTACAATTGATTTTTCAATTGTTACAGAAAAGATCGCCAAAACATTGTAGTCGGAGAGTAAATGTTCACCTTTCTGCTTAGACTATAATTAACAAGTATGTCTTTTCTTATTCCAATTACACATTAAATGAAATATAATTATGTATGTGAATGTGATTGTGAAGTGTCGGAGTCGACCAAACCAAAAAACAAACCTGTTGCAAACTCTTCTAACAGTTTCTTAGTTCTGGGATGTCTTGGTGCAATTTTCGGTTTTTCTTGATTTACAACCTTATGTGCTCGGTGGTAAGCGTTGACATTCTTCAACCCCTTAGACGTTTTGGACCACAATATCCCCATGATGAAGTAAATTCACTTTTTACATAATCAATGACAACATATAACGTCCATGCTTCACCTTGAGATAAGGTAGACAACTCTCCCCATTAGACGCGATTAACAAGACGTTCTTTAAGCAAACTGATCAGCCTAATTTCCCTAACTTCTGATTCAGAAGAGATAGGACGGAACCATAGAGTTTTATATAGAAATTTGTAACCATATTAATGAAAAATTATTCTACTTTCACTACCTATATCGCGTTAGATGCATTCTCCGCCTTCCAAATTTTCCCTGACCCTCCAACGCGGCTAGGCCTAGCCCCCCCCCCCCTTCCAATGAATACTCTGCTACGCCACTCAGGACTATATTGCCAATGTGTTGATCTGCACTGAACATGTTGGTGTTTCAATAAATAATTTAATATAATCACTAAATAAGATAACACAACATAAATTATCAACAAATTCGTACACATTAAAACAAACTTTGCAACAAAACAAAAATTATGCCAATGGCAATTTTTTTTTAAAGGCTTTCATAATAACCAAAAATATAGGAATAAAATAATTGAATATATTGTAATATAGCCTATTTGCTACGTAAACTTGTTGAATGTGGCTTCTTTTTCAAGATTTCTACGAATCTGATCTGCAACAAGGATTTTCCACGTTTAAAAAATTTCTCTTAGTCATTTCCACAATCCACATAAATAGTAACACGTGTTCATTTCCGATCATTTCAAATGCTCACATATAGATCATAATACAGCTGTGATCTAGTTATCTGTAGTCATTGACGAAAACCTGCTAAAATGATACAAGCAGTGGTAGCTTTCAGATTAGACGAATCTATATATTATGTAATCTAAACTAAACCTTGACGATTGAGATTATATGGATTAATCCCGAGAGCAGCATCTGAGAAATCAATTGCCTCCAATTTCCAACGCAGGCCCAAATTTACAGCTGGAATGATATTGGCACCCGATACACTGCTCCTTTTCTTGTTCATCATGAGATCGTAATTAAGCCGAATTTGTTGCCCGAGGTACTCTCTTTCTAACGCAATCGCCTTCCTTCTACTCAATCTATGGGTAGTTGACAAATGTCGATAGCACTCCGTTCTAGTTGCAAATAACTTCAAACAAATGCAGCACTTGACCGTAACATGAAATTTACTATATTCAAATAAACTGTTGGCATTTTTGGGCACAATGAATGATGGAGTCGAAGCAGGACAATGGATCTTGTTGCTGCAGCAAAATCTCTCCCAGTGTATTTTCAATGCATATTCTGTAAGAAAATATCGACAGCATTTGGAGCATTGAAAGATTTTTTTGAGGATAACAGACGCTTTATTGCAAGAATCGTTTTGTTTCGTCACCAATGTATCATGCCCTTTTATTGAGGGCATATTTGCAAGACTAGCTTCTTTTGAAAACTCTGATAGGAGCTTAGGAAGGTCTCTGTGTTTTCTTGCGTGCTTTCGGTATTTGCTTTTGTGAGAAAACCGTTTCCCACAATCTTTGCAAGTTATCTGCAACTTTGGCATCTTCTCCGCTGAGGCTGATGCTATACCACAGGAGGGACGCTTCGTTGATTTTCTTGGGTCTACTATTTTGATAACTTGCTCATTGTTTTCGGGGTTTAGTTTTCTTACTCTTCTATAGAACGGACAACTGTTCAAAATATGTCTTTTACAACTTTTGCGCGAAGAAAATGTTGAACCACAACCGTCACACGCTGTTGGAGTGTACTTCTGTTTCTTGTTGGTGGTTTTCGTCTGGCCTGCAATACCTGAAAGTTTAATTGAAAGGTTTGAATCCAATGTTATTGTCGAATCGTCAAAGGAACTTGTTCCAGGTTCGATTGTTGTGTCTGCGTTGAAGTCCATAACTCCCTTTTCATAATATTCGGGTACAGCTTCTGTAGGTAGGCCTATATGATTTTGGACTGTTTGCTTACGATCTTCTATCATGATAACAGACTGACCAATTAATAATGAATCGTGAAGCGTTTCATGTGATGGTTTAGATCCAGAAACTTGACCTTCAGTTACATTAGCTTTTGGAATATAATCTACGATATTCTTTGCCGTTCGATCATTGTTTTGAATATGAGTATTATCATGGTCACTGTTTTTCCCACAGGGTGGATTCTTGTCCCATTTGGCAAGATTCTCCACCGAATTGGTAGGCTGAACAGAAGTATTGTTCTGTCTCTTATTCCTTTTACAAGGTTCATCCTTAATTTTATTCATCTCTATAAGCTTCCACGCTGAGGTTTTTGTGTCTGATGTTGGTTTCTCTGGAGTCTCAGTAAAATGGACATTCCTGTCAACATCACATACCTCGGGTAAATGGATTTGGTGAGATGTTTCCCGATTTTTATTTCGGAAGTAACATGTGAGTCGTTTGTGCTTAAGAAGATTCTTCTTGTTGGCAAATGTTGATGCACAGTCGTAGCAGATTTCTCTTTCCAAAGGTTCTTCGTTTGTGTTCATTTTGTGAAATAAGGAATATAAAGTATGTTTTCGCAAGGTTTGGGTAGTCTTGAATGAGATATTACAGTGTATACACCATAGTCGACCATCTTCAGAATTAGACTCTCTTGAAACTGTTGAGTCTTTGACCATGTCTTTGTCAAGGGGTCCTTTGGTACCCTGTCTTACAAAAGCATCTGCACTTATAGTTTCTGGGGAAGGCGTGCTTTCTACAGTCACATTCTCTTTTTTGTTCTCGGGGTGTTCGTTTTCTATCTGTTTCTTTGTTAGGATCTTGTCATCATTGGGAGTCTTTTGGGATTTGATTCCTACTTCAATAGTAGCTACAGATCTACTCCCAAAAGTTGATGGTTCTGTCCCCCTTTCGTCTTGTTCGAGTTTATTGGCATTACGATCAGTTGTTTTAATGCTTTCGAGAATCGTTTCCTTGATTCCAGTTTGAGCCACATTTGTGTTTTGGGTATTCTTACCAGTTTTGCCATTCTCCCCTTGCAAGCCTATAGATATAGTATCCCTTCTCTCAGCTGAAGAACGTTTCAGTATGACATCTTTAAGTTTTTTGAGATTTTTACTGTGTCTTTGAATGTAAAGACTTCTGTAGTGAATATTCCCACAATGTTTAGATTCTTTTCCTGCCATTTTTAGTTGGTTCTCCTTAAATTTTAATTCTCTTTCCTCTGTTACAACGGTTGAAATGACTGGTTCATTTTCACATTGATCATTTGGGGCTCGATCTTCGTTGCCGCGGGTGGTTTCTGAAGCATTCATTTGTTCATTCGTAACTGTAACGTTAAATTCCATTTCGTTTACACAATTATTATTACAATCAATTTCTTCTAAAGACATTCCCTTTTGATTTAAAATTCCATTATTTCGCTTTAAAGTGGTATCTACTGCATCGTCAATGAGACTTTCCACAATTTCCTCTAGCGGTGAAGCCTTTAAGCCTTTTTCAGGAAGAATCCCAGAACAATTGTTGAGCTTGATACTATGATGCAATTCATTATGTTGCTGAAGGTTACATTCCAGGACAAAAGTCAAGCGACAGAAACGACATTCAAATAATTGTCCTCCGTGATGATCATCAAAATGTTCTCTTGCAATCGTCTTTGTGGAGAAAAGGGAATGACACACAACGCATTGAGTATTAAGTGCCACGTGATAGTCCTGATGTGCCAACTTATGTGCTTCTTGTTCCATATACAAGTACGTATACCAATCGCCCATTTCTAAGTTTTCAGCTGTGAGAGATAGGTCAACAGGAATTGTGTTATCAGCTTGTTCAATGAAAGTATTTGGTACAGATAAGTCTGTCATCATCCTGAAAACAAATCCATACACATTTAAGATTGAGATTTGGAGATGGGTTACAGCCGAGGCCTTCACTATAATACTGCGATGCACATCAAAAATGCCAAACAGACTCTTAGGCTTACAGATAGTCAGTTCAGAACATTGCTGAATCTTATCAGGTTTATTTGTCAGATTAATTTAGGATTAGTTGGTGTGGTTATGAAATCGGTTAGGTCTTCAAACTGTCTGATGTGGTTCACAGTCGTTCTCAGGGAGCCTAGTTCCAGGCCTGGTTCTAAGCTAGCCAATGTATGTGCAATCTTTTCGTATTCTTCAGAAACATGATATACACAAGAGATTTGTTGCTTCTTACCATCAATTCTTCAAGTGTTCTAAACGAATAATTATTTATGTGACACGAAGGTTTGTAGGGTGCCACGTCCGTTTCCCGCGCTTTTCTGTCAAGATTATCATGCCCAGTAGGCTACCCATTTTGACAGTTACTTAATAAGATATAGCCTCGAGTATGTAGTATGCAAAATTTGCAAATATGATAGATAATTCATTTTGGAGAGGATAAGCTTTCCCGTCATGATTCCATTATGCCTACAGAAATCAACAGCGACTTGACTCGTAATCATAAACGACTACATAAGTAGATTCCGTGAGTTACAGTATAAGGGAGACAACTACATTTTATTTGCCCTTAGGCTGTTTACTTTCCGGTAGATGGTGTTAGTTGACCTGCTTGGGAAGTGAACCTGTTATACGATATTTTATTGACAATTTTTGATGTTTTCATCTTCTAATACGTTTCACACAATAATTGATCGATGCAAGTGACTTCGTGGTATGTATTTATGTATATTTTATGTAATTTTAACCCGTAGATGATGCGATATTAGCTGTGATCTGAGGCGACCAGTTATAGTAAAATGAAATATGACCCATCAAAATGAGAAATGAGTCTTGTTTTCTCTTATCTGTTGTGGAGAAGTCTGCATTAATTGTTTAATCCTAAATTAAACCTGACGTCTCTGATAAAGAATGAACACATTGCATTGGGCTAGGTCATCCTTATATAGGGTACTAACAGTTGATATTGTAACTGGTTCTGTCTTATTTTTTAATCTTAGGTACTGACACTGTCATAAAATAACAAATTTGACAGACTGAGAAAGTAATGAATGAAAAATTGTCTATTACATTTAAATTCAATCACATGAATCTCTTCTACTATCATATTCCAATTCACTCAAAATGACTAATATCAAAATTACATAGAAACATATGGCTTTAAATAACAATGTGTAGGTCAATTGGGTCAGAAAATGAAAGTCTAGGAATATTTTTTTCACTTTTAATTTAAAATATTTGGAAATGAGATTTTTTATCAATGTCATCATTAACTACTTTTCATGTTGCTTTTTGGTCAGCATTATATAGGCCAAATGATTATTGTTTTGTCACCAATATTATGTAACGTGATGACTAAATCCTTATGAATATTACATCACTCTGCTGGGTGGATTAGTACTGTAGGAATGGTAGTAGAACAGCCTAGTAGACTGCAAGTAGGGTGTCGTCTGCTAGGTGGCTTAATATTGTAGATCATTGCCTTACTGGTAGTGTATAGCCTAATTGGTTGCAAGTTCGGCAGTGGTCTACTAGGTGGTTAGCTTTTTAGCAATGGTAGCTTAGTCGCCAAAGTCAGTGATAATTTGGATTGAATACCAGACGACATTGACAACAAAGTTTTATCAGAGAACTCATCAACAGAAAAGTTTATCATATGATCAGAAGCAATCGATTCCTATTCCCATCACAGGTTACTGGGTCTGATTATCTACCTGCCTGTGTTGATTGAATAATTGAGAGATTTATGTGATGCTGTATCAATTAAATCTATCAAAACATGTGTTGCCTTATTTACGTGATACATTACATATATACGCTGCCTAAAGATTTACACAGTAATAAAAATTTAATTACTTTTATTAACTCTCCTCTAATTTAGTAGGTATCTATTATAATTAAATATACGGATTTGTTGAAACAATAACATACGCTGATTCCACAACTAGTTTAAAACTGTCAACTAACCCATCAATAGATACATTAGGTGACAAAAACATTTTTTAAATCTGTTTAAGAGAAGCAATGATTGAAGGTGGCGCCATTCTGCCTGGTCCAGTTTGGGTGTTTCTGAAGTTATTCTTCTTTTACTTTTTGGTTTGTACCAGTACTCCGAACGATAGATCATACTGCCTGAAAAGGACTTCTTTTTGTGAAAGAATAAATTGAGCTTTATATTACACACTTGTGCAGTTATTGGTAAATAAGCTTATCCAAGCTAATGTATATTATGCAGAGGAATGTAGGCCTACAGAGGTTCAACGAACAGTAGATTCTTTATCAGTTTATTTTTAATAAATATAAACAAAACGTTAACTTTAACATGCGTAGATGAGTTGTCTTCTAATTGGTTGTTGCTGAGATATATCCAGGTTTGTCGCTGGGTTAACTGTTGACGAGTTGACTGAACATCGTTTGATTGACATTTACCAGTATGTGATTAGGTGGTATATTAAGGATAGTTGGATAGCTTAGTCAGGTAGCCAGTTGGTGATCATTTACAATGCAATTAAGAAACTCACCTGCAAGGTACACAATCTGGTCTTATGCCAACTCTTGGCCCATTCCATCTTGGGCCAAGATGGTGGCTATGTTGACTGGTTGAGGTGTACAGCCGAAGATGTACTTGTGTTTGTTGAGGAAATCTAGTTTTATAGGATGCATAATTTGACAGTTAGATATAATTATTTTAGTTTAAATAAGCTAGTTTATTGATTTGTCACACAAAATTATTCATTCAGAAAATCGGTACCATAACTATTATAATAAGTCAATGTTGAATTGAGCAGCTGTGGACAATACAAGGCAACAGTCATTTTTGTCTAGGTCAATATGTATAGGCTGTCTATCAGGTATTGACTATTGATTACACTTGATTGATTTTTTAAAATTCTATCTATCTAAAATAGATATGGTATTTTCCTAGTGTATTTAACAGGTCAGGTGTTATCTTTATTATTTAAATGAAAGGGGCAGATTCGCTATTTTCGGGGCTTGATTTGTGTCTTGAATATATTAAATTACTATATGTGTAAATAGTCTTCAGAAGTACCAGTACTAGAAATTGTACGGAAATTGCATAAATCATTCAAAAATATCTTAAATTAGGAATTTCTCTTTTGTCTTTTTAACTTTCTAACACAGATAATTCTGGACACACATGGATTTAAATGCTCAAATTTCAATGATGAGTTGTGAACACTATTACTGATTGGCTTAGCTAACTAAAATCTATTTCTGAGACTAAGGTACGATTGTTCAAATGAATGGTGAATGTGCCCCTTCAAAAATTATATATTATAGTTAATATTATACTGCCTAGGGGACTTATTCACAAAAACTTAACATAAAAAGATCGTAAGAGTTGGTCAATCACTATATTGAAATTTAATTCCTGTCTATTCAAATCAAGTCTACATGACAGCAAACTATTTTACAGCATTTTAATTTGTCACAGCTGAATTAGAAAACAAACATTTATTTCTAGTTAAATAACCACTTGTAATAAAACATGAATTTGATTTTGAGAAATGTGACAAATCAATAATCTGTTAATACGATAGATACTTGTATTGATCACATCAATTGATGACTTATGTTTTGAAGTTGTGGATAATTAGTTAATGAACTAGTTAATTGGTACTCATTAGTCAATAAAATTAGTATAAGGATGTGATGTGACTTGACTGAAAGACTTAATTCTATAGCTTTCAGAAACTTGAAGGACTAAAACTCTATATATTTTTTTTTTCGTAGCATTACCTTTTAAAGTCATTCTAGTTGTGACAGAAACTTGACAAGATAAAACTATGTTGTTTTTTATTTGCATTAAATGGAAAAGTGGGATTTCAATACACTAAATCATGTTGACAAAGTTATTGCCGGGGATATTTAGATTTTTAATGTTATAAAATAAATCACTGATGCAGCAACCATTCTTGAAATAAAACTATTCATTGGAATATGGCTTTGAAAATAACTATAGACTTGATACAATCTTTTTATGAGAATGTGATTGAGTGAGAAACTTAACCAAATGGGGACAACAAAAAATGAGCATGTTTTTGGTTACACCAAGATTGCCATGACTTTCATAATCATCTTTGGTGATTGACACATTTTGCTGTGGCATATTTAAGAATTTTCCCCAACCTGAAAGCTTTGATTTCCTTTTTATACGCCCCATATGAAATGACGGTTTTTGACTAAACATGGTATGAGTGTTCGTAACCACTCAAGGATGAACCCTATTGAAAATCAGAAGAACCAAAAAATATTTAGTATAAGTTATTGCCCTTGTTCTTGAAAACGCGTTCAATTTTTACCTCGTAAACATTCCAGAAGGGACAATTCTTGATGGATTTCAACGAAACTTGGCATGAGTGTTTGTAATCACCCAAGGATGAACCCTATTGAAAATCAGAAGAATCGAAAAATATTTAGTATGAGCTATTGCCCTTGTTCTTGAAAATGCTTTCAAATTTAGCTGAAGATTGAATATTTGCCTTTTAGAGTTTTCACCAGCTAAAAATTGAACACATTTTCAAGAACAAGGGCAATAACTCATACTCAATATTAGTATTGCGCTAAAGAGTTCAAAAGAAGTGTATGACTGAATGTTGAATATTTCATACTGGCGATTGTTACTGTACTGCTAAATATTTTTATTCAAAATCAAAGCTGCCAGTGGGCGTATATTACCTTGCCTGGCAAGCTATCTTTTATCTGATCTGCCGGTAGATAATTGGACAATTAGTCATAACTAATACAATTATTAAGACATCATAAAATCATGTTATGTAGTTCAAGTGTTAAAACGGGAATGTTTTAGCTAAGCCAATCAGTAATAGTGTTAAAAGCTTACCGTCAAAATTTGAGCCTTCAAATCCATGTATGTCCAGAATTATCCGCGTTTGAAAGTCTTGTCTTGAGACACTGTCATATAGGGAAAAAACATGTATAGAAATAAGAATTATGTGATTTTAGTGCATTTCTAGTACCGTACTTCTGAAGACTCAAATCAACCCTCCAAAATGGTTTATCTGTCTCTTAAACTTATTGAAGATAGGTGATCAAGTGCTCTTACCCTTCTACACTTGACTAACCTCTTGTTAGAATCAAAGAATTGTTTCTTATCCCAGTTCTGAGCTGAAAATCTAGAAAAGTTTTGAAAAAATATCTAAAGCTGATTTGTTAAATTGACAAGGCATTGATCTTACTTGAAAGAACTGTGGAAGGTCTCTGTTAACGTATTATAAGCTTATCATTCTAGTTCCAGCATAATAATAGATAGTAATAGAACCATTGTTTGAACTATTGACTGTTTTTATTGTTCTAGTAAAACTTCTACTGTTATAGATAATACATCTTGAATCTAAATCATTAAAGATTTTTTTTTTTTTTTATAAAAAAGGCCATGTTTAGTTTGAATGGTGTGTTCAGCTCGTATTCTTTTGTCCAAAATTCCTGTCTGTGGAGTTCTCTTGCTGCCTAGTGTAGGACGAAAAACTCAATTCATTTCATTTCTGTCTGTCAAGTAAAAATTTTTGATTATTGGTATTTTTTCAAATTACCAGTATTGAAAGATTCAGGATCTTTTCAGATTATCAAATGGCAGTTGACGCTATATATTAGATGGTCAATTTTCTAGAATTCAGATTGTCTTCATTCAAATCATGTCTGTTACTTGATTGATTAATGTATCTGATGAATTGACCTTTAGTTCTAAGGTCAAGGCAAGAATGGACACAGATGTACTTTGAGATTTAATTTGATTCGGAATATAGGAATTTAGACATCCAATTGGCTATGCACTTTAAAGACCCTTGGATAACTGTAAATGTCCCATGCTTTACTTTGCATGGCATTGCCCATCATCATTAAACCAATCAGGCAGGAAAAAAATCCACTCCTTTTTTACTTCCATTTACATATTATGATGATTGTTTGGATGACTATTTTCTAGTTTATCTATCAATTGTTTATATAGTATATCTGTTTCTATATTGAAATGTGGACCTATTCTCACAATCATACACATATAATATTATTTACTACTGATTTTTATGACCGTAATATAGGTATTGATTTTTCTTGTTCAAGTTCTGTTTAGCCAGTAAATTTCTGCTATCGGTATTTAAGTTTTGAAATGTCATAATTTCGAGATAAGTTTGTGAAAAATTTGAACTAAAAGCACTTACTTGTTCTGAAAGATAGTGGCAATGTAAATTGATCTTTCTATTGAATTTGTCAGACTATGTATATGAATGATGGGACTATATATATATTTATAATGTTTAGAATTTTGATATTTGGTACCTTTATTCATTTAATTAAAATGATTTTTTAATTCAATGTATCAAAATATTGAAATTTTGCTTTATTCAGATTATTTCGATATATTATCACAATGTTGTCAAGCAGAGTTATCTTGTATGTCTTTGGATTATAAGCTTGATATTGTGATGTGTACAGACATATTTGTTAATTGTCTGACCAAATTATTTTCCAGAATCACATTTTGTTGATTATTTTGGCATCAAATTGAAATGTAAACCTATAAAAATTTTATTAAGTGAAATCATGAATTTTCAGTTTGAAAGTCAAAACAAAATTCGATGATTGAAGTGTGAGAAAATTTAAAATCATTAAAATCTTATATTTTAAATGGAAGACATTCTTAAACAAATGTTCATGCATTTGAAAATATTAGTTCTAAAACTTTTACATGACAGAAAAAAAGGAAATTCATTGTGGTCAGATAGAAGTTACCTTCCTTCATAGTAGGACATGTCAGAGCGAAACGAGTACAAACCAATAGATAGTGAAATCTTCCTATCAGCTGTCTTTAAGATATATATTGACCCCATTTCTTACTTATCTATTAAAGTTTCAAATGCAGGTGAGAGCAAGATGTTGTGATATTTGATTTTGTCAGGTCTGTGTTATTTGTTTGTGGAATATTAAGGAAAAATGTTCTGTGAGAAAAGGTAAAAATTCAATGAAAAGGTAATTTCTTAAAAATTTAAATTCTGATTGTGAAGGTTAGGCCATTGATTTGAATTATATTTCCAATCACATTGGATTGAGTTCTTTTATGTGATTCAAGAATTTTTTATCATTTGTGATTTTTGGGATATTTTTCAGGTTTTTCATGACAAAAATTATAAAGAAATAAAAAAAGTATTACTTGGGTTTCAAATTCATTTCAAAATAAGGGGTTTTCTGGACTAACTGATGAATGGAATATATTATTTATGCGTCTCTTATTGTAGATGAAGTTCGATGAGTCGAATATTGTACATTTTTCAATGCACGGCAGTTTTAGAAGACGACTCACTGTTACCTTCAAAAAACCTAGAACTATTGATGCAATCAATCATTGAAAAAAATCCTACTATAAACTGTTTTGATAGACAGCTGTCAGTTATTCCAGACAAGAAAATTAGCACACTTTAATTCAGATCATACCTGTCTATCACAATACAATAAACTTTAGGAGATAGCTTTTCCTACTAAATATTGACAGAGTGACAGTGTTCATCATGTATTAACTCCACTCTTAGACTTCTACTGGTTTCGATACACATGCAGCAAACTTTTATTATTTGAAAGTATTATATAAAGACTTCAGACTATACAGCAGTATAAAAGGTTGAAAAATGCAACCTTTTAATTTAAAACTTTATCAAAATTTATAAAAATCATAATTCATAATGAAAATAAATGGTTTTAAACCTATGTCTAGCTAGCATCATAATTTGGTCATTATATTGTTTATTCCATAAAAGGAATTAGATAGTAAAAAAGATGGAACATCAATAAAGGTCATGACAAATGTGTGAAATATGACGTCTGGCACTGTTTTGAATGATGTCATGTCATCATGACAGGAAGTGATATAAAAACAGCACTGTGGGAGTAAGAATTAGACTTAATACTTGTATATAAAGCAAGGTATTATGCTCTCCCGTGACATGATTAAGCAAGGAAAGACCATGTCAATATTTTATACTGGTTAAAACTGTAAGTATATGAGACTTACACTCAGACAGATAAATGTTATCTTTTCCCCTTGAAAAAAAATATTAGGTTGTATTGAGAAACAAATTTGATTATCTGAAAAGATTGACTAATTTTATATCATAGTCATACAGTGGTATCAGGTGCTCTGTAATAGTAGAATACTAGAGATTAGGTTGGTTGAAAGGAAACAAGTTACTCTTCAACAGAAGGCACTTTCACAGGGTTAAAGCAGTGTTTATTATATTGAAGCTAGTGTGTTGAAATGGAAATTTGTACGACTTCTAACATAGACTTCAAAGTCTAGAGTAATTGTTATAGTGAAAGAGACCCATGAATAATTAATAGTATCTCAAGTTTTATTTCATTCATGGATTTAAACTGATTGACACCAGTTGACATTTGATGAGAGTCATGTCACATGATACAGACAGTTTAGTATCTGCGATATAGATAAATATTGAGTGGGAATACATGTAATTGGGATGTAACCTGAACTTGGGTGGTTTGTCTCTGAAATGTACAGAAGCATGGCAGTTGAATACCTTTCAAATGAGAATGTTTTGAAGAATCAAATATTTGTCGCTGCTTAAGCATTTCTTTCCAGGATTTGTAGTAGTGCGATACGCATATCGTATCGTGAGGTCATGTATCGATACTTGATGCTACCTCTCATTCCATTAAAAAGTGGGGATATTTATAAGTTAGCTTGTGATAAAACATTTTTTTCACTGAAATTGTTAGAAACTTTTTATTAGACAGTAGACTCTAACCACTTCTATCAACTATATTACCAAATATCGCAGTTATAAAGTTATGAATTAATATATATAGAATCTTTTAAGATATAATGTTAATTTTCATCCATATTACGGTATGTATTCTATCGTGACCCTTGTATCACGATTCGCATCGCGGCATTGACGATACCCAGCGCTAATTTTATAGAACCACAATGATAATAAGACAATATTGAGATGGGAAAAGAATTTCATAGGGAAAAATGAAAATGATAAACATCGGCTCTGACCTCCATATTAGTCCTTAAAGGATTGTGTATAGTATTCACAAATTTGAGCAAAAACAAATTTCAACCTACAAAAAAAAGCAGATTGTCCCTTTAAGTAATTCCCATTATGTAATTTGGGGAAAAAGTTGAAACATTGTTGTAAATAGTTGACATAATTCAAATTATTGAAACATTGTTGTCAGTAGTTACCAAATTGCTATAATGTAAATTGTTGAAACATGGTTGTAAATAGTTGTCATGAAGTTGTTTAATATGATAATCATCAGTCTATGGGTTTACATACTGTGAAACAGTGTTTATATATAACATTAAAACTTATCTCTCTGTAACAGGTAGATAAAGCCATACCTTTACCTGACATTGTTTATATGTGGGTCACCTTAACTGACCTATTTATAATTGTTACTTTTTTAGTGTGTCCTTGACATTATGTTGTCTTGTCTCTTTTCATAATTATTTCGTTTCTATTATGGGTATTTTCTAGGGGCAATGAATTTTTGGATTTTTTTTCATATCTGTAAATGTGTCAATCAGAAATGTTAATGGCAAGATGAATGTGTCTAGCAACTTGTCCCATTGTTTTCATTATGATTTTATTTTGTTTATGTTTTTTTTATGATTGGCAGAGGTGTTATCCAAATTGCAGCAGTAAGAGTTTGGAACAAATAGATTTCAGATCTTGATTTGGGTTTCGGATCTTTAGTACTTATGGTTTATTTTTTTCAAAATCTATAATTAAAGTTTTTAAAAGCTTTTAAGTACTTGTAACTAATTTGTTAATTAGTTTTCAAAAGTACTAGAAATGTAAAAAAAATCACATAATTCCTTTAAAAATACTTCAAACTATGAATTTTACTCATTATTTCTATATATGTCTTTTCTATATATCACAGAGTATCTTAAATTGATGCATCGTCATTTTAACATTCAAACGCAGATAATTCTGGACACACATGGATTTGAAGGCTCAAATTTCGACTGTGAGCTGTGAACACTATTACTTATTGGCTCAGCTTAAAAATTCGAGTTTCTGAGACTAAAGTACGTTTGGTCCAAAAAATAGCCTACCAATCATATGAGCCCACATTGCTTCATCTTCATAATGTAAAGCTATTGTGCCCTTTAGCTTATACCTTGAAGCCAACATTCATGTGTCATACAATGTATAGATTAGATTGGATTGTACACAAATAAAGCCATTTAGAGCTCACATCATAAAGACAGTAAACATTAGGCTGAGTGATTACAGATTTTCTTTTAAGACCTGTAAATTCCTGTATTTTATATTTTACAATCCACTCAAATCACTGCATTCAAAAAAAATTTGTAATACAAGAAAGTTGTCTATTGAAGTCAAGGTATTAGTAATTAGCCAAAGTGCATAAAAACTTGACATTGTGAAGATAACATAGCTTAGAATCTTATATATTACGATTCATCATAAAAATATATTGACTCTTTGACCAAAGCTATATTGATGTGTTTTTTTTATATTTTTCAGATGCAAAAATGTAGTATAGAATTATTATTTGGTTGTTAACCAATCAGTGACTGATATTTCAACATGTTTTCCTTGCGCATAGTGACAACAGATCATTATTTAGCCACGCCTATTCCTGGACTAGATGTCACCCGGTCAGAGTTCAGAGGGACAGAGGTCAAGAAAGTTCCAATATTAAGGATATTTGGATCAACACCTGCAGGTAAACTACTTTCCTTTTCCTTCTTTGTGAAATTTTAAAATATTCCAACAAATTTCTTCAATGCCAAGGCTATGCTGAGGAGCAAATAAGCTTCGTAATAAGGAGAAACCCCTGCTAATGCAATGCTATGGGGCATATATGCCATTGTAGAAAGGAGGAACCTTCAATGCTAATGCCATGATATTATGCTGTGTATAAAGAAGGGATCCCCATAAAAGTATTCAAAGTTTGTTTTTTTTCAAGGCTTGTATCATTCCAAATAGATTGTTTAAAATTCTTTTGAATTTGACAGTCTATGACAAACTTTTACTTTTGTAAGTTTTTGGCCAATAAGTTTTTACTTGCTACAAGTTTACAATCATATTAGACTATACTGTGACATTATCTGTAACTCTGCAGAATTCTATTCTGATCTTCTATTTATTTTCAATAACCTTGCCTTCAGGCTTAACAAATGATGTTTTTACAACAAAAGATAATCAAGATGACAAATAATAATGACATAGTAACATATAAAGAGTTCGATATATGTATTTAAAAAATCAATATTACGGATGTTTTAGTCTATTTGTTTCAGGGTTATGTACCTAGCAGGGTTATTAGTCTCTATTATTGCACGGCTCAATAATATTTAAAAATATTAGTACCTATTAATAATTTAAATAAACCAGTCAATAATTAGCACTGTGAACATCATGTTATACTTTGTTTATCATATACATGTTTCATTGGACCACATCTTTTTATGAGGTGAATCGATAAGCGATTATTCGGTTCTTTGGGTCTACAGTACATGTTTTAAAGGAATAGAGATGTTACTAAATTGTTTCTTTGATCTATTATTCCTTTTTAAAAGATGGTACAAAAATGTTTTTTTTTTTATGAATAATAGAACTTATCAATATTTGATTCAAACTTAGATCAGTCTTTTTTTTATCTAAGTTCTAATACATAGAACATCAAATTCAAGGGACGCATACCCGATATTTTACTTCAATCTCTTTAATAAGACTGACTTTTGATACACAAATAGTTAACAGAACACATCCTGTACATCAGCATCTTCGAGTACTCAATGTTAGTAACCAATACTATTCTAGGAAATAATTTGTCCAAGTGAAAATAACAAACACGTCCAATATGAAATATCAATCATGTCCGATTTGGAAAAAAATGCATCCAATTATAAAAATAATGTATCCAAAATGAGAATAACACTCAAAAAATTTGAAACATTGAAATATCAAACATGTCAATAATAAACATACTGTGTCCAAAATTTGAAAAATATGAAAATAACAATCGCCTCAATTATGAAAATAATGTGTTCAAATTGAAAATGAAAAAAGATTGGTAAATCAACCATATCATCATCCCTCTCTTTAAAAGTGTTAATGATAAAAGATAATAATGAACTGTGTGTAAAGTAAAATCAATAGTTGTATTTGAACAAGTGTATGACAATGTGTATATTGTATATAGTTTATATATTGTTAGCTAGACTTCAATAGTCGGTCAACAGTATTTTTATAGTCTTTTACTTATTGAGAATAATAAGAATACTAACAGATTACATTATATAACTCAGGAAAACTTCCATATTAAGATACTACTAGTAAGAAACTACATTTTGAAATTTCTCTGGAACTGTCTGTCTATTAATTGTTGACTAATTTAAGTAGAAATTTATCTCTACCACAAATGTTGCACCTAGTGAAATCCAAGTTAAAACTAGTCGAAGAGTGATCTTGGTGCTATAAAAAAAACATTGAAAAAAAAGACACTAAAGTTGGTTTATCGTTTCAAAAGTGAAGCATTTTTCTCCATTACACTGCAGTCTTAACTATTTCTGAAAATGAATAATTGAACATCTCTATCTCTTATAAAAGAACAGGCTAATTGATCTAATCTTCTGAGCATTGGACTTGGAAGATATATTGTGTCAATTATTGAATTATCTATATTAAACTGGTGTTCTATATATCATCCTACATACTAGTTTTTATATACTAGCTGTCTCCATATAGTTCATATGTTGATTAAATTATTGGTTATTGAAAATTTATAATTCATTCAGCAACATGGCTATTGAATTTTGAAATATTTTTATGACAGGTTCATATACAATTTTAGTTTTGCATCAGTGAATATTTAAGTAGTGCGTGTAATAAATTTTGTGATGAATTTATTTTGGACTAAATTAAAATTGATTACTTACATTTTACACGATAAAAACATTATTTTTAAAATATTGTCTTGGGAAAATGTTTGTTTATCATAGATAGGTATTCTTTGATTTTCAGGTCAGAAAACATGCATGCACGTACATGGTGTGTTTCCATATCTATATGTACCATTTGATGGAACTCATCCTGAAGAACGGTATATGAAACAGTTTGCAGCAAGTCTAGACAAGGCATTAAATGTAGGAAATGGAATGGCAAAGGCTAATTTTCAACATGTTTTTAAGATATCTTTGGTATCTGGCATGTAAGTATTGGAATTTCATTTTTACTCTCAATAAATGGCATATTTATATAGCACCAAGTCAATATCCTTTGCCATCTGTTTAGACTATTCATGTTCTGATCAAAATTCTAGAAAGTAAAACTGTAGTTATTTGTAGTGCTGAATAGCATGTATGCACAAAGTCAAATATTGTTAAGTCCCACAAAACTACCAAAGCTAGAAATGAGACATTTTTAAACTAGTGTCCTACTCTAACATACTTATTAGCTGATTTCCTAACATCTTTACAGGCTTTATATATATGAATGGCTTTGATTAGAATTGTTATTGACTAGTTTATTAGCAACAACCACTTTGCAAACATTGTATTAGCAACCTATCACACCATAGCAATTACTATTTGTGAATTGTGAAGAAAGTGGCCATGATTCCCCACCGCATCCCGCAACTCAGTTTATTATTTTCTCGCACCATTACATAACTGGTGATCACTATAGTGTGATGGTACCTTTAGCTAAATCTCATTAAAACTTAGGTTATTATGGAATGAACCTGAATGACATTAACTCAATAGTACAGATGTAAACATATTTGTTTTTGAGGAAAAAAAATTAATCTCCATCTGTTGTCAGACAATAACATTTTCTTTATGTTAATAGTGAGGTTTAAATTGTTTCAATTAATTACTTAGGTGTGGTAGTCTTAAACAACTTCGTACTCTTTAATAGTATTGTAAAGAGGTATTCTAAAATGTTTGTGTGTATCAGGGCCATTGATGTTAACAATTTGCATCGTTCCATTCTCAATAGCAGCTCTTGCAATAGTAATGTTATAAAACACTTACTTTTAGTGGAATGTACCATACACATACAAAAATTAGAAAACCTCTTTACAATCTCTGTAAGATCTGTGGGTGTTTGATAACTTCTTAATCCAAAATGTCACTTTTTATACGCCCACACGTAAGATGGGCGTATATTGTAATCACCCCGTCGATCAACTCGTGCTCACTCTACAGGCTACAATTTTTTACAGATTCTTTAATTTTTATTTTGTGTGTCAATGTCATTATGAAGATGATCCCTATTGATTTTCGTGATGAACGGATAATTTTTCACCGAAATATCGTGTCTGACTTGACGTTTTACTCTATTAGTTATATTGTGCAACTCATGCTCACTCTACAGGCTACAATTTTTTACAGATTCTTTTGATTTTTATTTTGTGTGTCAATGTCATTATGAAGATGATCCCTATTGATTTTCGTGATGAACGGATAATTTTTCACCGAAATATCGTGTCTGACTTGACGTTTTTCTCTATTAGCTATATTGTGCAACTCGTGCTCACTCTACAGGCTACAATTTTTTACAGATTCTTTTGATTTTTATTTTGTGTGTCAATGTCATTATGAAGATGATCCCTATTGATTTTCATGATGATCTATCGACTTTCACTCTATTAGCTATATTGTGCAACCCTGTAGTCACTAAAGACTGTTTAATCATTTCTGACAGCTGCCAGTGGGCATATGTTACCTTGCCTGGCAAGCTATCTTTTTAAATGCACAAGTGGTATATTTCTTTTCTTTGTCTGTCGTGCTACAATTATAAAAATTCTATTACAGACCAATGTATGGATATCACCATAAAGAAGAAGCCTTTATGAAGATTTATCTGTACAATCCTTTCTCTGTTAAAAAGTAAGTCTGCTGTCTTGTGAACTTTGAAGCTAATTGACACTGTGTCAGAAAGGGTACTGTATACTGGATACTGTCTGAAGGGAACAAATTTGCTGATAAAGGGAAGACAGATTCAGATGATTTTGATATATAGTCAATATTTAGATTGAATTTTAGAATTCCATTTATTATGTTTCTTAATTGGCTTTACATCCACCCAGGTGATGCACAGACATTTGTCAACATTAATAGATTTTGGGTCTTTTCATGTTGACAAAGATTTCTGCCTTATTTTATGGAAAATAATCCTGAAAAGGAATCAAGGAGTAAATTGTTGAATTATTACTTATAACCTAAAATGATTGTCTTATTCAGATAAGCAAATATTCAAAATAATTTTATTTCTATTTTTCCAGAGCTGCTGATCTGCTTTTAGGGGGAGCTGTAATGAATAAATCATTTCAACCTCATGAATCACATATACCATATCAATTACAGGTAGGTTATACTATCAAAATATCAAAATATATTATATACATTGAGAGGGATATCCTGCTTCAGGAACGGTAGTAGAAAACTTGTTAATTGATAGTTACAATTAGTAATAAAAATATATCTGAATAACAAAAAATGAAATGAATTTATAATCTTGTTTTAATTAGATTGAATTTCACATAAACTCATATAGCATATATATAAAGTTTGTACTATGACACTATGTAGTATATCTATATATATTTTAACAAGCCATCTGTGGTCATATATATATCTTATAAAAAAAAAAAAATTTCAGCTATTTATAGACTTCAATCTGTATGGAATGAACATGATCAATGTAGCGGCTGTTAAATTTCGTCACAGAAATATTAAAGGTAATTATTCAATTTGATGAAATAGAATATAGCTGATGTAAGGTTATAATGAACATGGAAACACATTAAAGACAACAGGATGTAACAGCAAAAATCATTGATTAGATTCCTGGAGATTTGGATCCCCCACTTGACATACAACAATGTTATCTGTTAACTCAATGCATTAAAAAAGAAGCATGTGTCCTTCAACTCCTCTTTGTCTATGATTACCACACTTCAGTTATAACTCTAGAATATTTGGTTATTTTAGAAGGAGAAGGAGAAGAAGAAGTAAGCAATACACCTGACTCTGTATCATCTGATTCCTTGTTAGAAAACTCTACCATCAATACACCAACTTCACGGCACTGGCTTCCTTACAATATTAACAGGTAGGTAAAGGTTTTCTGTGTTTTTTATGATACAGGGATTTCTCTGTTATAATGGTTTATAGATCGATCAGTAAGATTTTCTCTGTTAAATATTATGGTAGAGGATTTTTGTTATTAATGATATCTCTGTTAAGATATATGATAGAGGGATTTCGTCTGTAAGATATTATTACACAGGGATTTTAACTTTAGATATTATCATGTAGCTATTTCTCTGTTGGATATTATAGTATTGAGATTTCTCTGTTAGATTTTACAGTACTGAGATTTCTCTGTTAGATTATAGTACTGAGATTTCTCTGTTAGATATTATAGTATTGAGATTTTTCTGTTAGATTTTATAGTATTGAGATTTCTCTGTTAGATATATAGTACTGAGATTTCTCTGTTAGATATTATGGTACAGGGATATCTCTATTAGTTATTTACCAGGAGTCCAACATATTTCTAATTTACGGAGATTATCTGGAACTGTGAACATATAAAAATGAAATAAATACATGACGGCTAGAGCTGGAAATAAGGGTTAAATAACAAACTTAACTAACTTAAGATGTACTTTGACTTATTCTAATACAAAGTTTTGTTGTATTCCAGAGATCTATATTTAGAAGAAGATGTAGAAAGACATAGTACATGTGAACTAGAGGTAGATGTGGTAGCTTCTGATATTCTCAACAGACAGGAAGTTGATGGTAAGATCTAGTCTACTTTCACTTTCTTTTTTCGTTTTTATAATGAAGCGAAATTTGAACTTGATTATTGTGAATAGTAAGAAAATTTGTATCCAATTGTTGATTTTGTGGAAAGACTGACTAATGGCTATAAAGAAAGAGAGATACTACTGTTCTTTACAAGGATAACAGATGGTTATTGATCAAATCGACTTTACATCTGCAAGTGTATGATAATGTTGTATACATGAATGTTCAAAATAATAAAAAAAATGGAAAAATTTGAATTATATTGATAATATTTGTAGCTAACATTGGTACGAATCCTGGTCTAGCTGCACTGTGGGAAGATGAAAGACAGAGACGTAGAGATAGAGGTGAAGATTCACAGCTAGAACCTCAAGATTCTCAAGGTATTTCTTTATATTTATAAGATATCAGATACAAAGTTAAGAAGGTAAATTAAGTTAGTTCCTATGGAACACAATCAGTGGAATAACTCCATTAGTATTGAGTTGAATCGTCGTCTGGCCATTATGTGCTGTGGGTTTGAATCTTCCTTGAGGTAAATAAATTATACAGAGTACTTATATGTTTCCAAAAGTCTGTTCGTTGTAGGTTTTCAACCCCAATCAACTAACCAAGAGTTTAAGTGGAACATATTTAAAGGACATTAATCTCAATAAATAAAAACTTTCCATCAAAAACATAAGGTAATGTAATACTAATGTCTTTATATCTGTTAAAGAACATGATGAGGTGGTGATATCAGATAGTGAACGTGAATTAAAAGAAAGATTAAGAGAGATTATTGATAAACAGAGAGGCTTTCAGTAAGTTTTCTTTACCATTCAAAAAGTTTAAACTTCTTCCAGGGGATTCAGTGTTGATACGTTACCTATTTTAAATTTTGATCTTCAAAACTTTAAATTGTCATACAGTCAGTAAAGCTTTGAAACACAGAAACCCAAAGTATTTTAACGAATGAATTCTATATTCTACTGGGTCAAATAATGAAACACTTAAAGCTTTTGATATCATGTACCAATAATGCTTACTTGAGTATAATCTGTTTATGTGTATAATTATAGAGAGAGTCAGTCAGATGTAGAATCAGATGTAACTAGAAGTGATGATGGTGGAACTCAGTCTGAATTTATACCTTCTTCACAAACAGCTCAACATCTTCTTACAAGACAAGGTAAAACTTTCTTTATTTCTTTCTATAAGCAGTAGGAGATCCATGCTAAAGATCCTGTGACAGTTGGAAAATCTACAAAAAAAAAAGTAGTCTAAAGCCGTTGTTCTGGCAAAGTTTCCCTCATAGCATACTGCATGGCACTGCCCATCTTCATAAGCCCTAACTGGTAATTCACTTCATCTCTCAGTACTTATTCTCCTCTTCCTCTCTCACCTACTATGATTAAAATTTTTTATTCACTTGCTCCGACGGCTTGAACTTTCACGGCCAACACTGATAGACAGATTGTTATTGGATACTCTTTTGAAAAGGAAACGTCTTTTTATGTCTGTTAAGAATTTTATGATTTTATTTTTCAGATTCTGATGATCTGCCTTCATCTCAAGATACCATTATAGTAGAAGGCGGAGCTAATGAAGAAAATCAACCAGTCATTAGCTTGGAATCCATTCAAAAAGTTTTATCATTTAGTCAGAGTTTTTCTCAACCTTCTGCCTCACAAACAGGTCTGTTCTATTTCAAAATTTCAGGATTAGTTGAAAGTTATCACATATTTGTGAAAGTTGATTAAAATTAAGTAAGCATCTGTTGTGAAAATCCTCTCAGTGAATAACAAGTCAACCTTGTATTAAGCAAGAGGTTATGGGAAGTGGTTGCTTACTGAAGGTGGTTACTTGAGGAAGGGCTAGACTGATGTTCTCTGTGATATTTTAAAGCATACTTAAGAGTATAATTTCATTTGATATTTTATCTAAAAACAAATATTTCCGCACTATATTTTTCAGATAAGGGAGATAAATCATTATTAGAAATTTTAGCCTCTCTAGCAGAAGATAGTCCAGACTGTTCTCAGCATGATGTTTCTCAAATTGAGTCACTGGAGGATGAAGACTCTATTATGGTGGTGAAGCCACGCCTTCCAACACACCTGTCAATCAAAGAAGATGAAGAAGAAACGTTGGCGATGACTGATATTATTGTCCCTAGTGAAGAGGAGGAAGAAGAAGAGAAGAAGTAAGCCATCTTTTCCTTGTTCTTGTCTCCGAGAAATATTCGACTATTTTACTAGTTGAATAAGAAAAATTCAAATTTATAACCACCCTCATGTGTAGCTCTTACGAAAATCATGCCAATAGAGTTTACTGACATTTTTAGGACTTAAAATACAAAATTTAAGTTGCAAAGCATAAGTAAAGAATAAAGGGTGTTGCTTGAAACCTAGGTCCACTTTTGCTGTCTTATTACAATAATGCACATGTGACAAATTTTCCAAGCATGTCAGCTTTGAGCTGAGAAATATTTCTGATTAGCATAAGTTAACAATTAAATCATGAATTCCTCAAAATTTAATCGATCTTTACCTTTCCAGGGATGGCAAGAGTGAATATGACCTAGATGGTATGGATGTGACCTGGTCAGCATCACAATGGTTCTCTGATAGTGATGATGATCCAATACCTCAGTTTGATGGTGCTTCTGATCCCATGGTTCCTAAAAGACCAGGTAGGTGTCCAAACATTGTCACTTGCCAACTGAACTCTCCAAAAAGAATCTTGAAAAGTAGAAGACAGAATGAAAAGATGTATTTTGGAATCATTTTATTGATAAATTGATAAAATAACTGCTTGAAAGTTTGCCCCGAAGAGGAACACACTTAACTTACTTAATAAGAGTGATTTTAATTTCAAGTTTGAAGACATGTCAATAAAGGGTCATATTCTGCCCAACGGAATTCCCAGCTTAGCATTTTAAATTGATGTTAATCTTGACAGGAAATATTTCTTGTATTTCACTGAGGAGTAATACCTTGAGCATGTCTCAAATTTTGGGATTTATACTTTCAGTTGGCCGACCAAGGAAAAGGCTTGGACCAAGAGGACCATTAATTCAAGATAACAATCCAATGTCAAGGAACAGCCCTCAGTTCTCCAACATGTATCAGCATCAAAATCAACAGTACGCTAGTTACCATGGCAACAACGAATATCATCAACAGCCTCAGTACAACAACCAATGGCCAGGAGATTATAATACTCATCATAATACATCTCAATATACTCAACAAGGGAGGAGATGGGAACAGCAACACAATTATCAGCCGATCAATTCACCTCCTGCGTATCATCAGGGTAGACCTTCATCAGATTATTATCCAGGGTACAACCAACAACAACAACAGATGTATCAAAGATTTCCATCTGATGTACCCCAGAGTTCAGGGTATCCTAGTCATAATCAAACAAACTTTCAACCAACATCACCTCATAGTGTTCCACTCCATCAAAATCATAATTCAACACTTACTCAGAATCGATCTTCAGCACATCAGCACCAGAGCTCAAATTTTTCTCCAACTTCAGTGAACCTTAGACCCAACTTTCCAGTGGAAAACGTGTCTCCCTTCTCACCTGCGGAGAACCAAAGTGCCTTCTTTTCTGGAGTGACCAATTATCAGTATGAGGCTATAACTCCTCCACCTGTTCAACAAGCCCCTGAATCTCCAACGGTAACACCACCTGTTCAGTCACCATTGAGAAATATTTTAACCAATCCCGGACAAGCTTACAATCCTTCTTATATGAGTAACCGTAGCGTCAGTCGTTCATCAACACATTCAACTTCTTCATCCGGATCTCTTCAGAGCGATCCAAACGTGGCAAAACCTGACGATATGTTTACTTGTAACTCCAATTTCCCATCTCAACCACAGATGAACTTCCCTCAGAATTATCCAGAAAGATTTGCAAATCCTGGAATGGATTCTAGCCGATCTTTTCAAAATTCACAACTACCATTTGGTAATCAGATACCACCACAAAGACATCCTGGAATTCAACGTCAGACTTCTCATGGTCATCCAGGACCATTGTCGCCAACCAGTCCAAAGAGTGTCATTCATCATTTCCAATCTGGTTCTTCTCAGCCACCATTCAACAGCTTCAACCAAGGATCTCAAGAAAACAGATTAACATCCCCTCCTATGAGTTTCCCTGATTCTTACAGCAGAACCATGAACAGTAGTCTAGAAGATCTTTTCAGTGATGAGTCAAGCTTTCCTGGATTCAAGACTACTCCTGTCGTAGATGAATCCAACTCTAAAAAGGCTAAAGATGAATTAAAGAGGCTTCTTTCTGGAGATAATGATGCAGTTGAATCAACAATTTCTGATGATTTTCATGGGTTTCATGTTTCACCCATCAAATCTCCGCAATTACCATCATTTACTGAGATGAAATCTCTGCCAGTATCATCTCCTTCGAAACCAAACTTGAATCAAAATGGCAAATTTGGGAAGAAGCCCATTCAGGACAGGAATGCTTTAGACAGTCTTTTCAATTTGGTCTCAAGTGTGTCAAAAGAGAAAATTGCTGGCTTAAGTCCCAAGAAAGCTTACACCAATGCTTTAAAAGCCAATACAGTGGTTACAGCCATGGCTACGGCTCAAAAACCACAACCATCACCGCCTCCTGGTGAACCACAATACACAAATATGGATTCATGGAAAGATGCTCATTCAAAACTAGATCTCTCCCAGCCTCCTATGTCTTATGAAGAAACCCCAATTCCTGTCTGGAACAATCTGGAGGATTTCAAACCTTTGCCAAATGTAGGAAAGAAACAAAGAATGAAGAAACTTGGACTAACTAAACTAAAGGGTAAAGGTAAAACTATAGCTGTAGCCTCTGCTGAAACTACTAAGAATTCTGCCTATTCTTTTACCTTTCAAGTGCCTACTCCAGTTTTCAAACAGTTGAAATTCAGAAGTCCTCCAAAGTTTGATAGTGGGTTGAAGATTGTACGATTACATCCCAAAGATGCAAGAAAATATAGCTTGCTGAAAATTGGAAGAGAAACAGTGAAGATTCCAAAGTTATCTGCAGATGATGTACTGAAGATTCAAAGACTTCTTCAACATGGAGATATGGAAAGGGAGATTAGAAAAATTGCTAATGTTGAAGATCCAGTACCTGTACTAGTTGTCCAGAAAAAGGCAGAAGGAAAGGATATACTATCGCAATTGCTTCTTGAAGCTGAAGATCCTTCAATCAAATTAATTGGAGGGCCTTCAGCTCCACCAAAGAAAGTAAACAACAGAACAGAAGAAATTCGAGCCTTGAAACGCAAATCATTGAAACTCAATAAGAAACCGAAGCTGCTTACAGCCAAGAATCCAGTTCAGTTTAATAATATGTCCATTGAAGCAGACTACAGTCATCGCATCATTGATCCAG